CACAACATATCCTACGAGTCGGCCGATATCAATATGTCATCTATGTAAGACCTCCGACCCAGTACCAAGGGACCCGAAGTTACATCAGGCTTTCCCATCGTAAACAAGTCTTTGGTCTCCTCTGTATCAGTCCTTGAGAGATACGTAAAAACCATACAAAGCATTATTCAAGAGTATCTGATATATCTGGAGCGCATTCTTGAGTCCAAATGGCATCCGCAGCCATTTGAACAACCCCAATGGGGTGACAAAAGCCGAGATCCTTCTCGCCCTTTCGGTCATGCCGACGACCCAAAACCCACTTGCCATATCCAGGGAGCAGTACCACAATGCACTGTTCAGGTCCTCCAACAATTCTTTGATTAGAGGCATAGTGTAGACCATAAGATGGGTCAAGTCATTCACCAACCGATAATCAATACACAGCCTAATATCCATCCCATTTTTTCTTCACAATAATGACGATTGGGCTGGACCATGGCAAGGTAGAGGGCTGGATGATCTTCGCAGACAATAGTCCCTTGATCAGATCTGCCAACTTTTCTTTGAACTGGGGGGGGCACCTTCCGTACTCGTTGTGCAATCGGCCTGGCATTACCCACACCAATGTCACAGATAGCTCCTCGAGCAGCCGGTGGTAAGGCATTACCCTTTCCCATGAGTATATGCCGTCTTTTTCATATACTTTGTCTCAGTCGGTCCACCTCTTCTGGGGTGTTTCCTGTCAGAGTCAGGACCTGTATACCTTTCAACTTGATACTCGTGGGTGAAAGGTCAATCTCCGGTATGAGCCCACCCTTGGCTTACATCCTCATCCCACAGCTCTCCACTTTTGAACATGCACACTTGGTAATCCGCTTGTGGTGACTCTACCAGAAATTCTTTGCTTTCTCCCATCTGGTCTACCTGGTCTCTCATCTGGCCTACCTGATCGACCTGAGGGTGGGGTTCTGGTCTACCTTGTCTACCTGATCGACCTGAGGGTCTACCTGATCGATCCCTGAGGGTCTACCTGGTCTACATGGTCGACCTGAGGGTCTACATGGTCTACATGGTCGACCTGAGGGTCTACTTGGTCTACATGGTCGACCTGAGGGTCACTTGGTCTATGGCCGCACGGATCGAGGTCGACCTGAGGGTCTACCTGATTGACTTGCGTCTGGAATGCCATAGTCGTTACTGAAACAAGTACCCTTGGTCGCTGAAGTATTCTAGATGGAGTACTGTACTGTGGTACCTCCACCAATGGCCCTTCATCCTTCCCCGTCAGGTCTTCCTGATATTTGACCTGGTCGGTGGTAGATTCATACACCAGGCTCAGCCACTCGGCATATCTTCGAGACCCCACCGACACGAATCACTGCGCCCTTGGTACTTGGTCCCAGATCAGCCACATACCTACCTTGGTGTCCTCGTGTAATATTAGGGGTTAGGAACTGACATTGGTTACCTTCAGGAACTTCCGACTTCCTACCTCTTGGTTCACAGTCGTGATCCATCGTTCTCCCCTTGTGACCCACAACTTCCATTGGTGCAAGGTCAAACTTTTAGAGGCACTTCCTCGTATCCTCCGGCTGGTATCTGCACGTATCGACCAAACTTCCGTAGTTTGGGAAGGGTCGACACAGATCCACTGAGCTGACCTAGCAGTCGGATCTCGAGGGCTCTGATGACGGGGTCACTCTCCAATAACGCGTCAAGCTTGAGTCGATGGTAGGCCACGGTCACGTCAGCATCCGACCAGGTCGAGGGACCTACCGACTTGGCGTCACCTGGTGCCTTCATCCGGGGCTTGGTCGGCTTGAACATGGCGATCGTAGTTTTTGTATGTTCTTATATTTTAGGGAAAATAGTCTATCGGTTTTCATCTTCGACTGATTGTCGTCTGAGACATGATGGGTTTCATGACCCAAGGTGTCCTCGACGAGGACATAGAGAAGATATTTCGGTTTCTCTTCAAAAAGTGTAACCTTGACCATATTGACCGGGGCCCTCCCAAGGTCCGGTCTGTCCTTCGATTCTCTGTTGTTTTCTTGTGTAGTCACTGGCGATCGGCTTTCCAGTGACTCTTCGGTCTTTTCCTCAATCTTTGCTTGAACATCTTCATCTCCTTGGGACTCGCGGTGATATCACTCGTCTTCCAAAGATCCAGGCACGCGCACCATTGTGGTGGAGTGGGTTCTTAAAACTGCGTAATGAGACCCTAAGCCACTCCACTGTGCCGGAATGCCGACTGTCGGAGGGGGTACCCCGATGCCGCGTATAGACCTTCTCTCACCTTGTGTACCCGCCGGCTGGCGGGCTGCGCTTTTCGGAGGACTTGGTTGAGATGTGATGTCGGCCTTGAGAGAGGTCGACCTTGGGGTGCCTCGAGTGGATATGCTCCACTCGGGAGGCGGGAATGTGGCCAATCGGTCGACTAGGTCGAGTGTGGACTTATAATCAAATTCTTCACGGGAGATTCTCAACCCTGGTCTTTCCTTCCTTTTCCTTGAGATGTTAACCACCTGGCCTTTACTTGCTCCCGAACCACTAGGGTGGGAGACCGCATCCGACAGCGGGTCGATTTGGGGGGGTGCTACTCAGAAGAACCCACAGGCCAAATATATCCTGGGGCTCTATTCGCACTTGGGTCTTACCACACAACTGTCTTCGACGGAGGGGGGGGCGAAATGTATCCCTTCCCAGAACAGGTGGGTAGACTTAGTAAGTACCTTGAAAGCACGACGGAGGCGTGCTATGTAGATCGCAAATTGAGTAGTATATACTATATCCTATCTTTTAACTGATTTACTCTATCTTTACCCCCGAGACCTGATTCTTGATTCTGCTTGGCTAAGGTAAATCGACCGAAGGACGACGAGAGGCCGAGAGCCCAAAGACCGAGGGGCCAAAATTCCAGGGACCGAAGGGCTAACGCCTATCGACTGAGGACCGAGATCCATTGATGCAGGACCAACGTCGACCTTTAGGGACAGGGGCCGAGGGTCCACCGTCAAGGTCTACCTTTATGAAAAAACGAGGTAATGATAGACCGGGGTCCACCTCGAGGAACCGCGGTCAATCGAGCTAACCGTGGTTAATTCTTCTGAATGGCGGCCAACTAGCACGCTTTGACTGCACATTTTTCTCATCCAACGATCGTTCCCCGTCCCTTTTTAGCGCCCCGTCTCCCTGTTCCTTACCCAACGTTTGCTCCTCCTTGGCGGGTCCCCTTCTCTTTGACCCACCGGTTCTCTGACCTACCAGTTCTTGAAACGCTTCAGCACACAAGTTTTCCCGCGCGATACATAATCGAGTAGGATTGGACGCGATACCACTAGTAGCCTCGATCGACATGGTAGTGCGATCAACGACAAGGAAATGGATGAAATTACAGGGGGCAAAGGAACGACCATGACGACTCAGTGGAGATGGCTAAGTGTTGTGAAGACAATTTGATGCACAGCTGGGCTAACACTGTATATCAGCCAACGGTGCAGAGGAAGGTTGTAGCAAAGTCGGAAAGATGACATCGCTGGTGCGGTACATATACTGTATGTAGACCACACATAGACCACGATCCGAATCGCGGGGCATGTGGATACCCATTGCTAAGTAAATAACTATTACTTGTGGACCGCTATCCTATGTGGATAGCCATTTTATGTGGATCACAGACAGACCGCGATCGGATCTGGATTGCGACATGGATCGATGTGTGGATTGCTGTCACTTGCGGAACGCTTTCGAGATCCTATTCGCGATCTACATCCTGGATCGCTATATAGATACAGCGAAGGAGACGAGCAAGGGACGAACGACACGTTGCATCTGTGTGAACCGCTCTAAGAAGATACAATCTTTTGGATACGCCTGGTTGGGTATATCGCATATCTTAACAGATAGGAAGGCATAGTCATAGGTTTTTTTACTTTTGCTTAGATAATATAATACTTAGTACAATTTTTAAACAGTACACGCGTCGCCTTCTCTTCCGGGCGGGATAATTGTCCCCCCCTCCGACGTCTAATGACTCCGCGCGCGTTAAACGGGGATTGACCCTGAATAGTTTGGCCAGGGTCACGAACTATCAATACACAAGACCCTGCGATTGGACGCAGCTACAACATCAAGGCAAGATCTACAGACGGCTCAAGTGGTCAGAAGATCTACATATCGGGACAAGGGCGATTCAAGGGTGGATCGCGATGACTAATAAATAGTCTTCCATTAAGTACTACCGACCTCGTGAAGATGTCCGCGTGGTAGAAGACCTTTCCAAACGCATTAAGACCAACATCGATTCAGAGTCCACCTGGAAGAGTGCAACCCGGCCGATCGACGGGTAATCAAGACGAGGAAGGAGTTTTTAGCACACGGTATCGGAGTATCTCCTCCGTGATTCGATTGTCTGGGCGCCAGTGCGTGAAGCTGGGAGCGCAAGGATCTTGCGATAATATATTTACAGTACTTAAACAAAGCATAACGACCACGTGGCTCTCTGCCACGATGCGACCCTTTGTACTTTAGGTACGGTCACATCGACTCACCAGTGTACCCAAAGTACACCACGCCACAATGGTGTGGCAAGTGTGTATGTAAAATACACACCTTGCAGTCCGCATAGGTCATGTCAATGTCTACAATAAGAGAAGAGAGATATTTGCTTGTACGTCAGAACCTCACTTGATCGCACAAAAACCTTAAAAATCTTGCAAAAATAAACTTTGTTTTGCATTGAGAGGATGAAATTATCCTGGCGTGCGCCCTCAAATTCTTATAGACGCTACATCAGACGGCGGTTTCGAAAATAAATACAGGACACCGGGTAAGCAGAGATTGCTGAAGCAACATTTGCTCAATGTCGAAATGCCAGCAGTAAAGTCAGCGTTGTTGCCAGGCGACTTTTAAGACGTGGACACTAAAGTGCTTTACTCGTTCCGCTTAAGTGCGAGACAAACGCCTTTTCAAAAGTTAATTCAATGAGATATCACGTATGTGGATCGCTCCTGTGCTCAATGGGTCTATCATCACTTCCTCGCAGGCACCTCAACACCTGCTTGCCCAGTATCCCCTCACACTCTCGCTTGTCTCCAAATGATATACCTTGTGCCGCTATCTGCGTCATTGGTGATGAAATTCTCACTGGAAAGGTATCTTTTAGCATTAACCATTCGACATATTTTCCCCTTTTGCTCATTGTAAAATTTCTATAGACCATGGACACCAACTCGCACTGGATTTCTAAGTTCATGTTCCGTCGAGGTATCGACCTCAAGCGCATTGTGGTGATTCCGGACAATGAAGATGCAATTGTCTCGACAGTGAAAGATTTGTCGCAAATGGTTGGTCATAATGGATATGTGATTACCACGGGAGGCATCGGACCCACCCACGATGACATCACTTATGAGAGTGTGGTATGCTACTTAAACTGCCAGAGTTGGAGAGGGTCGTACTTACATTAGCACTTTTTGCGGCAGGCAAAGGCATTTGGTCGTGGTCTAGAGTTTCATGAATCAACGCTTAGAAGGCTTGAGGCTGCCATGGCGGACCGCGGTGGAGAAATGACAGAAGGACGGAAGCGGATGGCTCTGCTTCCTGTTGGCTGCAAGATACTTCCTACAGAACTCTGGACACCTATTGCGGTTGTGGAGAATGTATTCATATTACCTGGAATTCCGGCAATGGTTCGTTCTATGCTGACGTCAAATGAAGAGCACTTCGTTGGGGTTCCTATCTTCCGTGCAATCGTAAGCTTTTTTTACATTTGACACGTTGCTATCATCACTATTGAACAACTCTGTACTCATTTTATCTACTGCTTTGCAGGTTAAAACACAAAAATTGGAGGGTGACATAGCAGCTCGATTAACTGCCGTGCAGGTTGCGCACCCGAACGTTGCGATTGGTAGCTACGTTAACGTGACGAAGAATGAGAAGGCTGTGCGCGACACGAGTTTTAATACTCGCCTTACTATCGAAGGGCGTGACAAGACTGAGGTCAAAGAAGTTAGTGCCAAAATTGCAAAGCTCTTCGATGGCAAGCATGAACTTTCTGCTGACAACTAACACGTTACAGTTGAATACTCTTTCAGTTATACCGCAACTTTTCGATGAAAACCAGAAATATTGCAGTCGTTGTTTAGACATTGTTATCCTTGCATCACGCAGAGTTAAGCATGGAGTTGAGGATATGGTGCAGGAGGGTGTGTTGCGAGTCTCGGGACTGCGCTGGCACACTATTCAGCCCTGTCTGCAATTCTTGCAGCACACTAGTCACAAAGCCAGCAATACTTTGATCGCGCACGTCCATGACTAGGAGCGACTCTCGCAGCCAGTTTATTTTCGTCTCTAGATCATCCGCCAGATCGGCCCCCAACTGTTGCACAAGACATAAAATCAACATTTGCGAAAGCTTGGGCGGGCGGCTACTGAGGACAAGCCGCGGATCGCACTGCTGGCAGGTAAATGCTACAAGGTCTACACTTTGTGCGCCAAGTGCAAACTTGAACGCCTCCTCCCAGTCATTTCGTTCAAGGTAATCCAGCACAGCACCCTGCTGAGCCTCTAGCTGAAGCTCTTCAGGGGACTTCGAGACCGGGACTACTGATACCCGGGCATCCACAGCCAAGCTTACTTGCTTTACCTGCTTGCTCAAACCTTCCACCACCTTCGTCAGCTGCTCCAGTTGACTTGCGACCTTCGCGTTGCTGGTATTTTGCCCACTACTCTCGAATGCACTACGCGTGCCCTGCACAAAGGTGTCATTTATCTGCTCAAACATTTTCTGCGTGGCGGCCTGGAAAGATGGAATCAAAATGTCCTGGAAGCACTCGCGGAAGGACTCACGGACAGGCTGACGCACATCTTCGACTACGCGCTGCACCATTTCGTCGACTCCATTGGCCAGCTGGTCCGGCAGCGATGTTGCTAGTGAGTTATCCAGCTTCTGTTCCATCAGCGGGATCAATTTCTCACTGATCACATGCTGAAATCCATTCTGCACGGGTTTCATAAAGTTGTTTTCCATGGTGTGCAGCACAATACGACCCATTGCGGGCACAAGAACGGACTGAAGCTGCTTCTGAATTGACTTTTCCACTTGAATCGAAACCTGCGTCGTCAAATGATTACCCAAATTTCCCATAATTCCACGCATCTGTTTACGGAACTCCTCATCGCGCTGAAGCTGCGCCGCTTCCATCCGTCGTAGCAAAGCAAGAAGCATCTGTTGCTGATTTTCGCTCGCTGTTTCATCAATCGACGGGTCATATTGCGCAGAAGATTCATCCTGAAATGCACGAACAGAAGACGACGGCGAAGAGCGATTATAAAATCGTAAATTAGAGAGCGTTCCGTTGTCACCTGTCACAGACGACGCTGACACTGATACTGTATCGTCGCCGGTTGTAAGATGCAGCGAGCGAGCACCAGTGCTTCGCGTGCTCTGAGCTGGCGACGAAGGAGTTGGAGGCAGTCCGTTAAGAGGCGTTCGGAGCGGAGCATGCTGGTCAGTATTGCTGCCTCCTTCCTCCTCGTCTTCTTCAGCAATTTCAGTTTCGGGAGCAGAAATGCCTGCAGACGCAGCACGTGGGGATTCTGCTGCTGCCTGATACGAAATCTCAATGCTCTCCCCTTCTGTTGTCACAGCACCAACCGATTGGCCAGCATTTCCGCTAGCCTCAGTTTCATTTTCAAGTGAGCCATGTGCACCAGGTACATAGCATTCGCTGGCGGCCACGTGATACCGTTGAATAGCCTGTGTCTGCAAACAGTACAGCTGCATGGAGAAGTTTAGACCACCCAACACGGAGGCCAAATCATTGCCATCGCGTGCTGGTTGGCTTTGAGCAATACAATTCAGCAGACCCATACTGAGCACTGGGTAAGCTAAAGCAAATTCCATCACGTTGTCGAATCGGCGAGGCGTGCGAGCGTCAGAACTGGGGGCTAGGTGGAAAGCATATATCAACGGCTTGGAGCGGTCAGCCACAAACAAAAACTGCGTTGTTTGGTCAAATATTGTTTCGTGAAGAAGTGACGAGTTCTCCCGTGTCTCGTCACAAAGCATCACCGTCTGGTAGCACACGGGTGTGTTGCTTTCCGTTAGCGCCGCATTCCACAGTGACAGACGTGTGTTCGATTCGCCGCCTATAAAAAGTCCCGGTTCGTTCAGAAAGTTGCCACCGTAAAAGTGGAGACTATCAACTGTCTTGCCATAAAACGGTTCGAAACGATGAATAAACTCGGCAGGCTGCCCAGGTAGTCGGTCTTCAACACGATACACTTGTACAAGGCCATCACTACCAGCGGTAACAATACACTCGCCGTTATCTGGCGAAAAAACCATGTCGTTGATCAAACCAGAAGTCTGGCTGCAAACAATACTGATATCGTAAAGGTTTTCAGCACCACCACCACTAGCAGTAACTTGTGACAAGTCAGCGACAAACACCACGTTTCCGTTAGCAATAGCAATCTTGTCTGATTCCTTTGGGTGCCACTTTACACGTCGTGCCTGCGTCGGGACCAACTTGATCAGCTCGCGGCTCATTGGGTCATTCAGGATCGACCAAATTGCCACATGGTGGTCAGTACCAGAGCTCAACAGCAAATCTGATTTGCGGCTGAAAAAGGCCAGCTCCGTGACCGTGTGATGCTCGTGTTTCCGCAGCAATAATCGATCGACCGAACTTTGACTAATCACACGAATTAGTCCATTTCGGATCGGATACGATATAAAGTGCTCGTTCACTGAGATAAGGTTTCCCAGCTGCGACGTACGTTCCGAATTGTACAGCGTAATAGGCATAACTTCCAGCGATCTGCTCTCCCCGGGGGGCAGCTTCACCACGTAAATGATACTTCACACTCTCTCCACTAAGTCTTACACCTGGAGGCGCCGTCGGGGCATCATCAGTTCCAAATCCTGTAGCATTACCTACACGTCTGGGAGAACCTATCAACAAGCTCGATGCTAATCCACTTGCCCCATTACTATGACTGCTATCTGAAGAGACACAAGAAAAACTGCGTGGCGCTGCAGGGTACGTTCCTCCACTATTAGCGGAAAGACTGGGTACCGGCTGGAACTGGGAAAAAGTTGGTGGCAATGGCGTCGATCTGGGCACCGCGAAAGCTCCGTAATTCGGTATATTCTGCTGAAACTGAGGAAGGAGAGAGCTTGGTGCACTCATTGGAGGCATAGGCATCGACATGGGACGCATGTGGCTGTTAATCATGGGCATAGAGTTAGAAGACGAGGCCAAGAACTGCTGCAGAAATTGGTTTGGACTAGACATGGCCATGGGTAGAGGGGGGTGGAGGAGGGGGGATGGTGTTGCAGCAATTGTTGCAGTGGATTACTTTGTGTTACTTCAGGAGAAACATGGTCAAGTGATGAATAGCGAGCTATACAAGTCGCCATTTTTCATTAGAAAATTGTGTCTTTTCTATAAAGAGTATACAAAGTAAATGACTTACCTACGCTAGGGTTGGACAGCATGGAAGTGCTACCAGGAGGTGCTACACTAGTGCTGCTCGTACTGTTGTCGCTGCTGTGGCTATAGCTGCCACTGTCGCTGTGCGCGCTCATGCTGGACGCGTTAAGGGGCTTGAGGCAACGTAAGAGGCAAGATGCGTTTGTGAAGCAGAAAGCAGAGGGGGGACAATGTTAGGAGGGGCGAGACGCCAAATTCCATTGATGTGGGAGCGGGTCATCCCTCTAACGGTCAGATAAGTAATATTAACGTAATAACTACATTTCTAGTACTATTCTTGGCGATCGACACTTGAGATTGTGAGAAAATCGTGTCTACGTAAACTTCAAGGATTTGAACCACCATCTCCCGTGTTTAATTATGTCACATTTCACAAAGTAGAAAACTCCGTTACATCGTTAGGTGGTTGATTACTTTTTCCATTTACTTACAAATCCACAGCTTTTTGTGTAATTAGTGTGGAATTGGTGCTTTACTTAGCTATTAGCTTAGCGAAATGTAATTTCATTGCCTTGCACATCCGAGCGTTTACGCAATGGATAGAACATGTTGCGCAATGCATAATCGAAATCTTTGGCTCATGTCCAGTCACATGGTCGTCTGAGAGCTCTGAGCGAAGATGAAGCATCTCGAAGTCTACATATACTACAATTTGACTGAGGCTGTCGCTAATTGTGAATTTTGCTGAAATATAGCCGACAAACTCTTACTTCCGCCACACATTCTTCAAATACCAAAGAGACCTTAAGCTTCCTGTTTACTCCTTCAAAGTAAAGTAGACACGAGAAAGGAGATAGCACTCCATTTAAACCTAGCGCTTCACATCATCCTCGTCTGATGTCTTGTCGCTCTTTTCCTTCTACAACAAAAGATTTGTGCCAATTTACAGCAAACGTATCTCTGGCTAAAGCTATCCGACCTTTTTATCACTCATTGGCCGAGATGACCGTGTCTTCTCTGGTCGACTTAGTAGGTTGTTGAAAAAGTTCTGGAGATGCTTAGAGCTGACATCCTTCTCTTCACGCTTTCGGCGATCTGCAGCCACGCGGCGAGCAGCAGCTGCCTGTTCTGCCTTCTTGCTCGCTTCGATACTTTGCTTTTGCAGCTCCTCCAAACCGGCACCTGCGGCCTTTTCCAACTTCTCAAGCCACTGCTCATGATTGTCGACGCGGACACCGACAGTGAGCTGTGAAGCAGCATCTTTAGTATCCTCCGCTGGAGCGGGGATAATGTTTTCGAACGGTTTGTCAGTTGGCCAACGCGGCTCTGAGCCCACAAGACTCTGGTTGATCAACTCAAACGAGTCGTAGCCAGACGGGATGAAGATGCTGTTACGGTCGACCAGTTGCGGTGGCGCTGTAAATTTAAACTGGCACGGATAGGCACGATGCAGAATATACTTGCGGAGTTTGTCAACGTTAGAGCCAGTCTTTGCGGATGTAAACACTACCGACGCGCCGTCTAGCAATCGGAAACGGAAAATTAAGACCACGAAACGCATTACTGCCAGCACGATGAAAGCAAATATGTTGTCGTCTTACATCGAATTGCAAACTGGCGAAGCGTGTACTCAATGTAATCCATCTTCACCGAGTTTTCCGGGCGCAGCTGCAAAATTACAACGGCAAACACATTATGTTTATTAACTGATCCCAAGAAGCATCAGAGGTTTACACGTACATCCGCCTTAGCCACAATGATCACAAGAGGTACGCCTAGATTTTTTGAAAGCACGCCTTCTTTCATCTATCTCAGCACATAAGAGTTTAAAATCTCGTCTGATTTCCATTTTTCAAGCAGCAATGTTAGTACAAGTACAACACACATACAAACTCGTTTGTAGACGTGTCCATAGGCGCTGGTGCAGAGTGATCGACACTCTGTACATCAAAAGCATTATCCCAAATAAACACAGAAATGAATACACTCAGCACCAGAATCTTCTCACCCCGTCTTCTCATCTTCAGCTAATCAGTTCGTACCGGATCTTCATAGGCAAGAATATGCTGCTTGATAGCCGCATACAGCTCACTTCTTCCTTCAGATGTTAGCTGGTTGATCTGTTCCAGCAATTGTCCTTCCAGAGCCGAAAGCCACTGTTCTAGCGAGCTCTTGATCGTCCACGGACGCGACAGATCCAGCACTATAGCTACCACGGTCTTGTCAATTGCACCCGTTAAATATATTAGCCAAGTCTTTCTTCGACTCGATTACATTCAACCGCTACCTTCTGCAGCGTCTGAGGCTTTACTGCAATCTTGATGAGATCTTTGAGCCTTAGATCGTTTAAACTCCATGCGCAAATGTGTGCCATCACGTCCTCTAAGACAATACAACAATTCAATTTCCATCAGCTCAAACACATAAAGTCATACAATCGTACCTAAAGCATCATCACCACTTTCCTTTGCACGTGGTTCCAGGACATCCAACGTCTTGAAGGTCAGCAAAGTGTCGACTCCGTGCGTCTCATCGGTCGCCTCCAAGGGGCCATGTTTCGACTCATCCAGACACTCTAAGAGAGCAGACTTACCGCATTCTACGTCACCCACTAGTAGAAAGTTTGCTGCTGGTAGCTTAGAGCGCACAGAGCAGTCACGCAGCATCTGCTGCCACAGATCCTCCCTGTCCGCCATTTTGTAAGGGTTACGTATGTTTTGTTTGTGTACAAAACGTAACCCAACAAAACAAACTATTTCTAAGAAAAACATTGCAAAATTCATAAAAATACTATTTTCTGTACATTTACTCGACGACGTTTTATAGATTACAAAAATAGTATTTCTTTAATCAAGCGTTTTCTTGAAAAAAGCACTACTTGTAACTTCAAATCACGATCATGTTAACTTAAACGAGAGGTCGGCCTAAAATTGGCATTATGCACACTACCCAATTGTTAAATACTTTGCAATAAGGTATCTCGCCAGATCATTGGCCCCACTAGATGCAGCAGTATCGAGAACAATAGATAGCAAGTATGACAGACCAAAAGTTAGAAACTGTGTCATCAAGATTGAAACAACTAGTGACGAGGCAACGCACCTTTGCTTATAAATCAGCGATAGATTGTAGGCTGTTTCTTTACAGAGTAAATACTCGGGTGGCACCTCACGCTTCTGCTCCTTGCTCGTCTCAAGAACACGTAACACCCGCTCATACATTGGTATGGCTAGATGAAATAAACCCTAGAACAAAGGGATGATCGCATGCACATTCAATTAAAAGTTAATTCATAACACACATCGCATGGTACGAATATAATACAAGTCACCAGAACATCACGAGACGTACCAGTTGCTGGTGAGCGCGACCAATGTTGTACCAAGCCTCAATCTGACGAATGTCCGATGGAATGTCACTCGGGGCTGCAATACGGACGCGCTCGTACTGTTGCAAGAATGCAAAAGCCTTTGCCACAGTGTGTTGCCTATCGTTGATCGTTCGCTGCATAGATGCAGATAGGAAGGCGAGACCGATGCAGAAAATAGTGAGAGGATCGTTTGGGTGCTTCTGGTGAGCAAGCGTCAGCTCACCCACCGTCAGCGATGCGATATCCCAGGCTGATGATTGGTGGCCAGCAAGTAAAATGGCTGGATAGCTCTCAGGAGCATCACGCAGCAGCTTTGCCAAGAATTTCTGATGCCACGAAAATACACCAGTGATACTGATCACGCGTGAAAACAAATTCCAATAGCCTAGATTATGTGGGTCTTCTATGATGTTCAGTCGCGCACACTCGTACGCCATGCGGTTCTCCTTGAATTCAAGAGCAATTACAAGCGCTAAAAAGCGCAGCTCGAAGCGCAAAGTAGGCTTAGAAATTTTATCAGATGTATTCACATCCGTCAGAAGTTCAATCGCTGCCACGTATTTGCCTAGCTCAGTGAGCGTTTGTGCAATGTCGATTACCAAGTTGTAGTATTGCTGCTCGCCAAGAGCACGAGAAATCACAATTTGCTGTGCCACGCGCATGACAATCCCCATGAATGATTCGCGCTGTCGTGAATCCGTAATGTCCACAAGGTATTCAGATTTCAGTACCTGAAAGCCCATGGACTGCGCTTCGCTCTCGGAAATTACATCGTGCTGTTCTGCAAGTGAGTTTTTCACACGACCAGATAAACGAAACGACGTTTGGCTGAGTGATGTGAGGATGATGGGAATGCCGACTTGACAGAGCACTTCAGCCTCGCCCGATAGCTTTTTTAAGTGGCCCCACTCAATCAGCAGTTTCAGGCGAATGCCATTTTCCATTGCATCTACTGACAACGACGGGTCATGAGTCATTTCCATTCTATTCTGGTCGTCAGCATCGTCTTCATCATCTTCCACTTCCTCTTCAAGTTCGTCAGCGTCACTATCTCCATCATCTTTCAAACACTTTTCATTCTCGCCTTCTTGTGCACAAGCAGCGTCTTGGTCCTTAGTTTTTCGTACAGTATTGATCCAATAAGGCCGAATCGGCGGATGCATTGTCTCCGGTAAATAAGTCTCCAGTAACTTGAGACCCTTTAACGGGCAATTTTTCTTCCGCGTGGCTTGCATTGCCTGTAGCATCAATTCTGGGTCTACTGTCAAATCTGGCGATGTGCGTTGATACGCTAACGCTTTTTCGTAATACTCCACAGCAGTTTCGTAAACACCCAGACGGTCGTGACAGGCAGCAAACTTGATCCAGATCTGCTCTATAGGAAATTCTTCTCGGCCTAGTAGCTGCTGAAGAATTGCTGCTGCCTCACGGTCCTGGTCTCCAAGCGCAATATACGCATCAGCCACATCAAGGTACAGATCACCAAACACTTCCACATCCTGGGCAAACAAATGTGAAAACATAGACCCAGCTGTCGCAAAGTCCCGTTCGAAAAGGTGACAAATACCGTACTTCACAGCAATGTCCAGGGGCAACCCACCCGGATCGCTTTCAACTTGGTCAGGGTCCTGAGCTAAAGCATATCGTGCGTGGAGGTGGTGAATCACGCCAATGGCTTCACGATACTTTTTGAGTGTAATGTACAAGTCTGCAAGCATATTCACAGCATTCAGCTCGTACTTTGAAGTGTGCAAATTTTGCGTAGGGTCCAGCGTTGCAGCCTTTTCAATACACATTTTAAGCGCGTCAACTGCTTCATCTTCTTGGTCGTTGCAATGGTACGCCTCAGCAATTTGAATCCATAGCGACAGATCATTCGGTATAAGCACAGTCAATTTCTTAAAAACCTCAGCTGCTCGTCGATTGTCACCTTGTTCACGACACAATTCAGCATAACTAAATAGAGCCTCTTTATCTTTGGGATCCGCGCTACTAGCTTTTTTAAAACAAAACAGTGCCTGATCAAAGTTTTTCTCGTCCTTTGCAATGCGTCCCACCCGTTTCCAAAGCTCTGCATCGTGCGGCGTTAGCGTGCAAGCAATCAAAAAAAACTGCAATGCTTTAATACGATCCTGTCGGTCTTCATAGATCATTCCCAACGTGTGGTATGGGTCTGGAATCGTTGGCGCTTTCTTGATAAAGTCCTTCAGCAACGTAATAGCCTCGTCATACTGGTGGGACGCATATAGCATATTAGCTTCACCCAATACATTAGCAAGCTCTGGTGGCACTTTAGTGGCTGTCACACTGCGTTTGCCGGTCTGACCACCGCGTCGTCGTCGTCGGCCCTGTCGGCCACCTCCTCCTCGTCTTCTACGTTTGCGAGACTTTCCCCATAGCTGCCGTTCAATGTCCGAATCTTCTTCTTCCTCCTCCTCCTCTTTCGCTCCATTGCCCTCTTCTTCACTCGACTGTGGCTCGTATGCATCGTCGCTCTCTTCAGCAGGTCCTACCAAAACACCCATTCCAAAAGTCAATTACCAGAACGATTAGATGGTTCATCGCATAGTTTTTACCATCCAGATCTCGACAATTGTCATCGATCATGTTCATTTGCGCATCAATTCTTCCCACTTCGTCCTGTGAGAGCTCTTGTGCGTCCCCCATTGCCGCTTCCAGTAGCGACCGGAATGACATTGTTGCGGCTTGACTGGTAAACACGATGATGCGGACTATAAATTTGGCGAATTGTGTCTTTGAATCAGATTTGGACCAATATGTCGATTGGATAATATCCAAATGAAATAATTGAATAATGATGGAAAGTCGGCGAGTGAGTGTCGCTAGTACTACTAATGGTCTGTCATGGCAAGAGGTGCAGGAGATATGTGGCCAACTTGAAGGCATGTTTCATGAAGACGCTCCTAAGGATGCACAGCGTTTACGTGCGCTCATACAAAAGCGCAAGGAAATTGCCAACGCATTCTACAACCGCCAGAGTTCGGCTCAGAAGCTACTGGCTCGTAAATTAATCATTATATATATCTGTTGTAACTAGGACGTTGGACTACTAATTGCAGCTTATCAATTATTGCCATCAGACTTGCGTGAAAACTTGAACGAGTGGGAAGAGAAGGAACAAAAAGCTCAGGAGCGTAACGAGCAACTGCACAAGCGTCTGCAGGAGCTAGACGCGTTTAAAAGAGACATGGTCGTGCAGCTCGATCGCTTTCGATTGAACGAGCAATATCCTTTTCATTAGTTTTCGATTGATTTTGCCGTAGTAATATCATGCTTCGTGGTCAACGTCACGTTTGCCGCCGTGGTTCTCCTTAACCTACGTTATCGATGTTTTGTTCCTTTAAGATTTCACGACATCCAGAGAGTCGTTGGATATGCTATTAAACAAGTATGAAGAAGCAAGACAAGAGCTATTGCAGTTTAATGCTGCTCATCAGAACGATGTCCCAGAAGCAAAGTGCGTGACGTAATAGGTCAGGGACGTACTAATGTGTTTTTACTAACATATGGAGTTCGTGCTATTCAGAAACCAAATGAGTCTCTTTGCCTCGGTTACAGGAATTCGATGGGATTTTAGTGACTCAAAAGTTGCTGGAGGTAGTTGAATAAATTGAACGGTGCTTACGTGTTAACAATTATGACAATTTGTGTGTGTAAACACAGATATTCATGTGCCTGCGAAAAAGCGTATCGTCCGGTTTGAGATCGATCCTTCCACGGACCATTTTACTGCTGCCAACTCGTTATGGGACAAGATCGACGAGGCATTTGACGACATTGACATTGATCTTTAGATGGAAAGATACCTCCTGCCTCATGTTTTTGAAGAGACCGGTCAATGATTTTAAATGCTGCTTTTATCTTCGCGTACTACCGACAATTGGGCGTAATTTTACATGTGAACCAAGACGAAGTTAACACAATCCGACTCAAATCTTTCGTGACTAATCAAGTATAAAGACATTTGAGAGCGTTCTTCTCTTCCGAAAGGTGTTCCAGACTGCCGACTAACGAAGAAGGTTCTTCAGTACCCATGACGTAGAAGCTTGCTCGCTTTTGTACACGTCAACAAGGCGCAATTGTTTTTTTGTAAACATGACTCGTAAGAACTCGCGATGACGAGCTTGAACTGATGTGTGCAACTGATCCGCACATCATTATCTACCTGACTGCGTCACATTTTGCTTTTGACCAGCTTTAGCTATCGACACCTGCAAGCTGGTAATGTAATGAGGTCTTGATAAACAAAATGAAAACATCCATGCAAGGTCTCGCGAAACCGCACAAACAAAAACAAGAACATTCGTCCGTCTGCAGCACTACTTGAACCCATCACATCAAATCGCTCAACTTTGGTGCAAAAACATATCCCCATCAGCCTTACTTCAAATCAGCTTCGATTTAGCCTCTCTGCCTGCCCGAAGGTGACGATCACGAGCGCATGATGCGCCTTTGTCAAATTTCCTTGCTTCTTGCGTGATTCACCATATAGAGAGGCCCATGCAAAAAGAGCCCGTTACAATTTGCAAGCCACACCAACGTTTTTCCCATCGTTGTGCGATCAAAATGTTACCAAACTACCTAACGGTGAGGCTAAAGCGATCGGTCTTTGAGAAAGCTAAAAATGATCAAACAGTGCTATTATTATCGACCGAAGCGTTACGGAATCGTTCAACGCCAGTCATTGTTTGTTCCATGTGCTCTCCCAACTCCGCATCGCGTTCATGTCGTCTCAGCAAAGCATCATGCATTGCACATCGGTATTCTCTCCAAATCCAGTAGCCATAGCCAGTCATCAACAATATCACCAACACGATCAAGCAATAAACTACCATGTACACATCGCTAGAGCTCATAATCGTTGAAAATTGGAGCGAACAAAGTGCGTGTTTTCGATTTAACGGACCATTTTCAATGATTGTATACTGCCCATCATCTTTTTCTGATATTTGGTGTCTCATGCGCAGTTTTATGCAACAAAACAGAAACGCTTGAAGGGGCGATCCAATTGTTGAAGCGGAAAATGTCTCACCTGACGATTACTATACTATCAGTTGATTAAAAATGGAGTTGCAGTACTAGGCAAAAGCTTGTATTGATTGGACTCATTGCTCAAACCAAATAATATGCCACATATCTAGGCCTCGAAATAGCAGCGATCACAGACGCGAACTGGCACATTGATTCCAAACTCGGGAATCGACTTGAATTTCTCGGAACAACCTTCGCAAACAAGAGCACCACACCGTCGGCAATTATGCTGGTCACGGTTTTGCTGTGCCTCACTAGAAGACGTCGAGTTCCATGTGAAAGGCGAATCACAACACATGCAGCGGGTCTTTGTGCTGAAAGGCACCCATTCTGGCAGTGTAGGCTTAGCACGACGTGCATCACGGACAACACGCAATGCGCTTAAATAATTGCGACCTAGATGATCACTTAGCATGTTCTGCTGAACCGGAATGTGCGACAGCTCTTTACACTTGCGGTCAACGTGTACGGCTTCATAAATTCCTTTGTAAAAGAAAATGTGCGTCACTTTGCCAGGGATATAAAGCTCCTTCGGATCCTCAACCAAAACCGTTGCCAATTCTTCAACCATCTTTTCTTCCTCCTGACGCGTCTTGGGTGGTGACTCAAGTGCTTTTTCTTCACTGCTTTCTTCACCGGCTTTGTCGAGTTGGTCAATCAAGTTTGTTCGCGTAAGGGTCCAGGTCGAGATGCTTTCTTCTCGACTGGCCGCTTCTGCTGTTTTCTCAGCCAGCGTGGGTCGCTCTACCGGAGAGATTGCCTTCTCTTGCTCAGACAATTTATCTTGAATTGCAAGTTTACCCTTTCGTTGATTCGCCGCATCCTTGGCCCACTCACGATTTCTTGGTGCCCAAATGGTCTTCGCTCGCTCCTTGAACGCTTCCAAATCTTCTAATGCCGTGTCACGCCAATATCCCTTGAATTTCTTCAGCTCATCAACAAGCTTGAGAACGTTAGATGCCTTGGCGCGAGGCACGATATCATCTCGAAGCACGATTGAATGCACAAAGTCGTTACAAGACTCGGCGACACTCAAATTAACACAAGCAGGTACGGCGTACGCAAAACATTCAAGATCTTCAAACTCTTTCTGCAACATCAGCGACAGCAGTGCCGCGCAGCCAGCTCCCAAGGAATGTCCTGCAAAGACAATGTGGTAGCCTTCAAGATGTAGTACACGCAGCGACTTCACAATACGGTCCTTGATCCACATCACAGCTTTAAGCATGCCATTATGCGCGAACGCATCAACAAAACCACCGGTTGCTTCGCTTTGAGGCGCACCTGTCGAAGAAAGACCGATCTCCTCGGGATAAGCCTGAATATCCGTCAGTGCGTCTTGGACAGATTTGGAGCCTCGAATCAAGACAAGCGCCGTCTTGCTTTCCTTATTGCCCAGGAGTGCAAAGGAAGGGTGCCGAATGTCTTGGTCTTGAATTTGCGCATATATTAAAGAAAATCCTTGCAGCCTGCTTATGCGCTGAATGTCCAGGACGTCAAACTCATAGATGCCGTGCAATGCTAATGGTGCGTACTTGAGCACCTTTGACAAAAGCTCGTCCGAGATTGGCTCACACCCGTAATGGCTTATCTTCTCTCCTTCAGGTTCTGCACCGCGGTCGCCACGATTCATCGCCATAAAATAATACGCGCCAATGGCCGCATCTTGAAATCCAAGACCATCCAAGTCGCCCAGCAAGCCTTTCAATGTTGAAAATGACTGCATAAATTCATTGCGCAAAATAAAACCAAGCAATCCAGCCCTGCCATACTTGCGCAAGAAATCCGCACTCACGACAGCCATTTTTGCCGCTGCACCAATTGGAGCAGACCTCGCCGCAACGAGTGTGCCTTCAGCAGCACGCATGATTTTGTCAATAGCAGTGTCAGTCGCTGTACTATAGTACAAAATGAGCTTATCACGAAGGTAGTCTTTTACACGCTCAACGCGCCATTGAACTAGCTGTTCGTTGATCTTTTCCATCAAAACGCAATAACAATTCTTGCACACCTTCAATGGAGTTGTGTGTCCATACGCGCGGATAATGGCGGACTCGGACAAATGGTCCCTGCAAAAAGATTCAGAGCAGTATCCACATTGATAACGAAACTTTGTCATACCAAACTCAATGTTGCATTCCTTGCAATATTTTGACTCAGTGGGCTCTGGAGGAGACACAAAATTCACAAAACCATCTTCACAGCATGTCACAAGTGATCGCTGAAATGGCGACAGATCTGGAAATCGCTTCGATAACATAGACAGAACCTCTGGCTCCTTTTCCTCATCCAGAAACTTTGTGGTGTGCTTTCGTTCTTTACGTGTCGGCATAATTTGTGTTTCCGACGAAACTGCAGCTACCGTAGCCGCCTGCGCCATTTCCAAACCAAAAAGTGAAGCCTCCTTTATAGATTGTATCGTTCCATACACTGCTTGCTTCGACGATGACCCAGCCAAGTCAAAAGCTGACGATGGAAAAGATAATGCAGCCGACGAGAGTCTACCAAAGAATCCCGGTGATCCCGATGGCTCATTAGAACTGGGCTCGGTATCTCCTTCAGCCGATACAACTAACACGATGTCGTTTATATTTTCAGCATTTTGTGCTGATTCACACAACTTACTGGCATCTTTCTCTTCACTCTCCACCCCACTTATCATACACTCTGCCACAGCATCTGCCTCGTTGTCATTTGCTTCATCCTTTCCTTCCTTTTCACTTGCTGAACAAAGCAAATTCCACTCAAAATTCTTCTCACTCGTCTCAAAAGCGTCTTCACTTGCTGACACCAATGTCGCATCACCAATCTCGACACCTGCATCTTCTTTCTGCTCTTTTGCCTCACTTCCCATCCAAACTCGTGTGCGAACGACACTAGAGCGTGTCATGGGGCCTAATGTATCTTGAAACGTCTCTCCATAAAGCCATCCTTCCTCATCATAATCTTTACCCTTGTACACTTGCCATACAATCTCTTTTTGCTCGTCTTTACTAGGACACGCTTCTTCATGAGCAGTACACCAAGCAGGAGGATCGTCTGCTTGAAGACATGTCGTCCAACCCTATCATAGAAAACCACATTATGTAATAATAAATTAGAACCATTCAATAGCATCAATGAATGAATCAATCAAGAGCGTACCACAATTGGATACCATCGTTGGTTCTCAATGACTTCGGGCATGAGAGATTACAAAATCAACAATGAGGTCTTCAAGTTTTATTCATGAATGTTGTGGAAAAAATGAAATAGCCAATGCGGTTTCGTCTCTATAGAAATGAGCCAATCATATTCCGTCTTGTTCAAAACGAGTGGAATTCTTATCAAAAGAATAAATAATCCATGAATGATTGTCAAGAGTGACACTGGAGTCTGTCTATGTGACAAACGCATTACAGTGCTTTTTATGGAACTGTCGTATCTATCAGCGATGCGACGATGATGACCTAGGACCGACACGATTAAGATTGATGTTCTTCTGTTTTGGGACATCAGTTTAATGACGAGATTTTCGTTTCATGTTTGAGGAGATTTCTTCCGTAATAAATTTCAAGATGCATTTAGCTTGAATCATTTTGCATTGCAATTTTGAGCTTCATCATATCAGTTTTGAGCTTCAGAGATGAGTAGCGATTTCGGCACAAGAAGAAGCCCAATACCGTCAAGAACCGGTGGCTGTTCGTGACGTGATTTAGATAGTGCTGCGATAGAGTAGCGTGATGCTGTCTAGAGCTTTTTGAACGGGTCAGAAGTACAAAGAGATGTACATGTGGATACGTCGATGTTTGTTGTTCTAACTTGCAAAGTACACCTTATCAGGGCTTTACCTTTACTTGCTATGGTCTTTTCAGTAGCACAACGAAGAGTCATTCCTTACGTCGCAGCAATTATCGTTTGGCTTTATTTTGGGATATTGATTGACCTTTTGCAATATAATCGAAACGAAAACACTTGACAGTGCTATGCTGTTCGCTGCATATACAAGATCTAATAACAAGCTAAAACTAATGACTCTTTGACAAAACGCGCACGTATTCTTTGCATACTATATTCATTCACTCCTGCCTCCTCTTACGATCATCATCAATCTCATGTTTGTTGGGTCGTCGTACTGACTGAAGGTTATCAATCGTTGAATGTATGTCGTCTGAATGTCTTCCATTATGTAGTCCACAATTTGGACTTTAAAGATATAGCATACAAACATCAAGTTGTTTTACGTCCCCTTTGACAAAAAAACGTCCATTCATTCGAAGAAGACAAGAGTGGAATTTAGTGAGAGAGAGAAATCATGGACCGCTTTGCACTTGATAAGATTAAAAATGTGATGGACGATGCGTATGTATACGTAATCATAATATTATAATAATTGATAAACCTTGATATTAAAGTAGTCGCAATAGTAGTTAGTTAGTTACTTAAGCTCTCTCTCTATGTGTGTATGTATATATATATATATGTATGTCTAACAATAGGAAGAGTGCCGTGAAAGCCAAGATGGGAACTGACGTCGAACGAAAGATAGAGGAAGCACTATCAAATAAGAATTGGGGTGCTTCTAGTACCTTATTGAATGAGATTTCACAACTTACTTATGATTTGTATGCAGTTACATTTCTATGTATTTATGTTGTTTCAATAGGGTATTCTATGTAACTGAAGTATTGTGGATGTTTACTTTTTACTGTTATAGCGAGTCCTATGGAGTGATTATGCGTAAAATATGGGAAGCTATGGACGCTGAAGGACGACAATGGCGCTCGGTGTATAAGGCACTGAGTCTTTTGGAACATTTAATCAAGAATGGCACAGAACGTGTGATCGAAAACGCACGTGACCACATGTTTAAACTGCGCCATCTCTCAAGTTTCTCGTACCATGATGGATCGATCGACAGGGGTAGTGGAGGTGAGGAAAGATGATACCGCGACTTTTGTATTTGCGGGTTGGTTTGTGTCTGAAATTTGTGCTGATGGTTTTGTGTGTGTTTCCAGTTCGTGATAAAGCCAAACAATTGGCGGATATGCTGAATGACAATGATATGATTCGTACTGAACGCGAGAAAGCAGGACGTTTGCGCAACAAATACGTCGGTATTGGAAGCGGTATTGGTGGCGGAATAGGAGGAGGGGGGCTTTAGCGGCAGCAACAGCTACAGTGGAGGAGGAGGATACAGTGGGGGTGGTAATTACAGTGGCGGCAGTGGCAGTAGCCACAGTGCAAGCTACAATGGTGGTGGTGGCAGCGGTAATGGTGGCGGTCGTGGCAGCAAAGAGAAGGAGTCGAAGCAAAAAGAGAAGGGCTACTCTAGTCGCTACGCCGATGACGATCGTGGTAGGTCGTCGCTGTGCATATTGCTATTTGGGAATGCAGTGTCGTGTTAACGCGGTATCTTGATTATGCGTTGACAGATGAGGAAAGTGAAGACTCCGAATCGGAAGAGGAGGTGCCTTCGAAGCGACGAACGGCATCGTCGAAGCGAAAGGCTGCTGTGAAGAAAGACGAGGTATTTGCGCGCAGGCATTAAATTGTGACATAGCTTCAGTGCAACACTAAGCAGCTGAATGAATTTGTTTTGACAGGAGACTGAAAGCAAGCCCGCAGTCGAAGCACCTCCCGCAGAACCAAATCTTCTTGACACCGATTTCTTTAACCCAGCTCCAGTGGCAGGTATGATCTACTTTTCTTATTGACAAAAAATGCGCCGTGGATTATTATGCTTACCAAATCTTGCTTGCAGCAAACACATTTGACCCTTTTGCACCAGCGCAAGCGCCCACTGCTGTTGTTTCTCAAACAGCATCATTTGCTGCTTTTGAAAATGCTGTACCGGCGCCACAGCAATCGTTTGACGCGTTTGGCACCGCGCAGCCTATGCAGCAGCAAGCTTCATTTGATGCATTTGGGAATACTGCTGCCTCTGCACAAGGAAATGTCCAACCGTTTGCTGCGTTCCCTACAGTCCCGGCGCAGCAGGGCTTTGATGCGTTTGGTCAGCAAGGAAACGCTCCGGCTTTTCCTACCCCTGCCTTTAACCAGCAACAGCAACACCAATTCGGCCAGTTTGGTGGAATGCAAGGTAGTGTGCCGCAACCAGTGCACGGTGGCATGAGTATGAAAGGCGCAGCACAAAATCAGTCACGAACGAATGCGGTCCCAAAGGTGGAGGAAAAGAAGAGCAATGATGCATGGGGAGCTGGTTCATCGCTATTTGATTTAAACAATCTGCGGAGCTCTTCTAGCAACAACAGCAGCAATGCGGGCCACCACGGTCAGCATTCACATCACCAGCATTTACAGCAGCATTCCAATGCTGGCCGCAACAGCTTCAGTGGCCTGGATACACTTGCTGGATTGCCTACCAAGCCTACAATGGGAGGTGCTGGCGGCATTAACTCTGTGGGTGGTATGGGTGGAATGAACTACGGAGGTAGTGGAATGGGTCATGGCGGTATGCAGCAGCAACACATGTACGGCCAAATGGGCCAAGGCCGAATGACAATGGGTGGTATGCAGCCCCGACCTACGATGGGCATGGCCATGGGTATACAACAGCCAGGCATCGTTATGGGTATGCACCCTGGCATGGGTGGAGTGATGAGCCAAGGCGGCTTCAGTGGGATGGGTGCGATGCAACAGCAACAACAGCAGCGGCAGCAGCAGGCATTTAATCAATTCGGCAATTTTAGCTGAAGTGATGAACAAAGTGGACCTGTTGGTGATAGTGCTGCAGCATCAATGCAGGAAGTAAAGGCCGCAGAATGTTTAAGCATACTGAGACTACCATGGCGAACGGGAAGTGTAGGTTAATGCCTATCGTCCAAACTACTAGATAAAGTTTAAACCGCAGTTGCCGGTATGCTTCTGCAGAATGAATGTTACATGCTGCCACGTTATCACTTCCAACAGGTTCACTAGTGTTGCAATCACTGTAAACTTCAGCACAGTTGCAAGAAATGCAAACGCTCAAGTGATTATTGGCGCTTTGTAAACGCAAAAACGCCACAATAAACATCTTACCCCGCTATGCCGCTGATGTTTCAAACGCAAAGGTAATAGAAATGATGGAGCAGGCATGTATGTACACTTGGACTACTCGCACTAACAGCATCCTTCTCGTGCGTTCCTCATCAATGCAAAACCGCGATAACATCTTTGTCGCACTCGCAGCGGACCACATCAGCTTCCATTCCATTTGTAGCAGAACCTCTCGCTGATGGGATGCAACGTGCTCAGGTTACTCGCCGCATGGTAATCAACCAGCCAGCACAATGGCTTCACAGATACTCACCAGCTTGACAGGTACTTGCTCAGCTTCGTCAAGAGCATGCTGAAAGTTGTCCGTGTTTGTTGCCAAAAAGTGCATTCTCCGGTGACTGCGGCTGAGTTGTACACCCAACATTTTCCATCTCCTGATCTTTCTCATGTCTCTGTCTAGCTGCAAACGTCTGAAACAGGCCTCCACCACTACTGCTACGTGACAATGTACCCTTTGAATCCGTCAAGATACTAATTTGACTCGACGTTTTCTTCAGACTCAGCCGTGCTTCCTCGTGTCCATCCTCTGCAGCAGCCACATGAACACATTTGCGTTTCCTCCATCCTTCCGGACGTTTATTAAGGATATTAATTGACGGCAAAGACTTCAAATGTCCTGGTATTAAAAATCGAGCACGCGAGCTTCGCTTGTGTCCTTCCAAAGGTGGAGAATAGATTGCATTGTCTGTCTCGACGTTCTCCATAGGCATAATCGCCACTTCCTCCACACTCACCATTGCATCAAATTCTGTATCCTCGTTTTTAACACCACATTCTACTCTCTCTTTCCTGCTCCTAGTCGTCGGTTGCTTGAGCTTCAATTGTTTCCTCAGTACATCACGAGGCTGTGGTGAAGACGGCGGCGTGTTTGGACGCTCTAGTGGCAGTAACGAAAATACTTTAAAATGTGCCAAAGCTCCGCTGCTTTCAATTCTTCTTCTCTCTTCTGTCTCTTCCTTTTCTTCATCGATAACCTCCTCGTCGTCGTCCTGGCGGCGTCCAACAGCAATCCGAGTGAGTTTTTCCCGTAATAACATGATATCTTCATGGTCATTCACGAGCGAGTTACGACGTAATTTTGAGCTGATATGAGTCACGGTATTTGGCGTCTTTAAAAGGTCGATTGAGTGAAGAATTGGACTGGATGGAGACGTCATCGCGTGAGCTTCGTGGAAGACAAGTAGGCTGCTACTTACAAGCCAAGTCGTGTGCGCGAGAGATTGTTTTGTTAAAGTAACGTTCGTTTGTTTCGATTAATTACATTTTGACCCGTTTTTTTTATTGATATCTGATGTTTTTTAAACTAAGAAAACGGCTGTATACTTTACAAAGTATTCAGTCGCAATCACCATAGAGCAACGTAAGCAGCTGTTCGTCATCTCATGTTTTTGTCCGCAACATATGAATCTAGGATGGCCAACCCCACATCAACAGCAACTTGACCATTGCATGTGTTACTTAATCAAAAAGAGAACCGCTTGAATAACATTGTGTCAGTCAGTAGCCACGCTGATAGCAAAAGTGATACTAAGATTTAGAGACAGAATAATATGTTGACAGACCTGTTCGTACTGATGGAGCGGCGGGTTTGTAATCATGGTAGTTTCCATTTGACAGAAGGATCAGGAAAGTTATTGAGTCATAATTGCAATGAGAAGGAGAATGAAAAACCCGTGCATTGACGTATTAAAGTTGATCGTAGAGGTAAATACAGTCAGAATGTAGAAGTTGGTCATTACTGACGTATGTAGCTGTAGGGAAAGACTAAGATCAGGTCACTTTGTTGGCTGTGATACTGCTACATTGGTACGCGTCACATAGTGGGCTACACGCGCTACGCCATGCTTATCGATGTGAGGGATGGAGTACTGTAAAGAGTCTTTCGTGGGTAACGAAACGATATTGAAGCAAGCGGTTCTACCATTTGCGCCTCGACGATCAAGCAACAAAGTGGCTGGAGCTACACTTTGAACTGGGTCATGTGAGACCGACATAATTGATTACCACCACTACTGGACGTATGATCACGTGTTGTCACAGGCATCGCGGGTACTGGAAAAGCGTCGATAAATGCTTGTCATGTGGGAAAGCGTTCACCGACACTTTTTCAGTACTTTGACGCTTCAAACACCCACGAAGGTTTGTCGTTTGGATCAGCAGCTCATGGCAAACGCACCATGATCAATCTACATGCCATCAACTACATGACAGACTTTACAGCAAGTATTTAAAGCCGGATTGATGCTTAGAGGACCGACACAAAGCCTAGTAGCTAGCTGCTGCAACAGTTGGACGACTGTTGCCTAAAATGAGGACGACAATAAGCTAGGAGTGACTTCTTCAACTGCAGTAAGGACACCAGTACGCTTACGACTTGGATAATACACTCGGCAATATTATTCTCTCTGCTTCTTACGCTTGCTACCGTGGCTTATTGCAGAACGCAATCGTTTGCTCTTGACTTGAGCATAATGGACTCGGTCGTCGTAGCTCGTAAAATATTGATCCAATCGTGTTTGGATATGTCTGCTGCCAAAGGCTGCGGCAGCTTTTGCCTTCTCTTCCAAGGGCTGTAAAACGCCATCACTTTTTTGCTGATCCCATCCGAAAGCATTCGCACAATAGTTCCGCAAAGCAGCCACGTCTGGAGAACTCCACGAGAATTGAGCATCAGAGCGATCCACTTGAGGAGCCATATACGCCTGGACAACATGTTGGCTTGGAAACTCATCGCCTAATTCCCACTTTCGACGTAAGCTTGCGTGAGACCGTTGGAAGCGTTCCCGAGCTGTTTCGTCATCATTTTCATCGTCCCCTTCATCACCTTTTCCCTTCTTCACTCCTTTTTTTCTCTTCGTAGACCCACTTGAAGCAACACGTTGGGCCTCTTCGCCAACATCAAACTCATGGACCCATTTCTTAAACTCACGGAGACCTTCAATACCCGGATAAGAAGCTGCAATCTCAGTTGCATTCACTATGCCAATACCTCGTACCCCATCCGTATAATCGCTTCCAAGGAGTAGCGCCAAAGCAATGATCTGCTCTCGCGAAAATCCCAGCTCGCGCTCAATGTCGCGAGTCGAAAAGGCTTCGACAAACTTTTGGTGGTGAAAAATGTTTTTGTAAACGCGCTGGCCGCCGAATGGGAAGATATCGCTATCATCCGTGATAACGCCATCCACAAGTCCAAGTTGTTCTAGTGCCGCACACTGTGCTTCCGCTTCCATAGGGCTCACAAGAAAGGGCACCCCGAACAAACGCAGCAGTTCCATCACTTCTGCCACCATATCGTCAGTGATACCATCTGTGTCACGCAACTGCTGATTCCGCAGCTTCTTCAGTTGAAGCTGTTCCTTTCGCAATGTGGCCGCATCCATCTCTAAACTTGTGGTATCCGTCAGCATGTTAGGCTCCGAGTCCTCATTTGGTTGCGAGTACTGGAGATAGCGAACAGCATTACCAGCTTTGTCTGCTAACTCTTCGTGGTCATTAGCAATTGAAGCCGCCAATGCGGCTTGTAGCTGCTCTTCGTTGTCTTCTATCGCGTCGGGGACTTTGACATCGACTTGCGTGACGTTTTCTTCTTCTTTGGTAACGATCGCTTCTGCACGCTGGATGACAGACTTGGACTTTTTTTCTTCGATCAGAAGCTGAAGTGAGTCCTTAGCGACACCAAACGTACAACCATCCTGAGCTTCTATTTTTTCTCTTGGTGAAGCAAGAGAACTTCCACGAGCTTCGCCTTTTCTACCATGTTGCAACGAGTGCGCCTGCAATGCTCGTCGTACAGCACCAGCAGCCCATTGCGTAAGATTTGAAGCAGTCGCCATTGCAGACTGTAGCGCCTCATCTTTGAGCAAATCAAGATCTTCATGCCCCTTAGCATCCTCCATCTCATCTTTCAGCGTCAGAAATAACTCCTCAGTACCTTCCGCGTCATCGACTTTGTAATCAGTCTCTCGTTCATCCCAAGAGTCAACGTCTGGCAATTGTTGCTCCTTTTGCTCCATGGACACAGCACCAGTAACACCAACAGCTGTCACCTCTTTCATGTTCTCCAACTCCAGCTTATCCTCGCTTCCAGCTTCTTCGTTTTTTCGTTCCTTCGCGGCACGTAGTACGCTTGTTTTACCAAAAGGCGACAATTTATTCGTATCAACGTGTTTTGGCACCGTTTGCTCGTCATTCCCAGAGCCAAAAATATCATTTGAGGGTTGCTTCACGGTGTTTGCATCCACCTCCTCCCAATCAACATCGTCATCCTCGTCATTTTCATCATCAACATCGTGTTTGGTTCCAGCAGTAGAAATAGGCATGGCTGCAGATGCTGAGAGCAGCTTCTGAAATCGCACCATTTCTTCAGGCTCAACATCGTCAACATTTAGTGTAACACTTACATCACTTGCTGGAAGTTGCTTGACACTGACGTCGGGAGCAGCTGGCTTCACAGAGGTAGCCGCCTTCGTAAGCCTCTTCAGCCGAAGTTTTTCGATCGCAAGCATAGGTTCCTGCTTAACGCGTACCTGATGTCGTGCGATCCACGTCGCTGTCGCCTCCATTGCATTATCATCAGAAGCAAGTTCTGGTTGCCCAGATGAAAACTTAGAAAGAGATTGCTCTTTCACTGACTTAAGGGCACCAACTTGAGCATCGTTAGGCTGCATCGACTCAATAGTCGCGGCTCGTTCTGCCATATCAGTACAATCCACGTCCGCTACTACATCTTCATCTTGTTGGTCAGTTTCCTTGTTGTTGTCTGTATCTCTTTGGTAAATGTAAAAGCGGTTGCTATTTGAATCAATCCGATGCCCTTGTCCTACACCACCCTGGTGTTTCATCTCCTCTTCTCTCTTTTGTCGTTTCACAGCTTCAATTCGTCGGTTCAATGCGCTCGTTTGTAAAAACGATGATATTTGCGTGTGTGAGTATTTCTCCGGATTTCCAGCAAGCGGAATAAACTGGTCCCTAACCTTCTGACGTCTATCACGCAGGATCTTCTGAATCATGTCTTTTTGCAAATGAGGTGGTAAGGAAAAGACCGCATGGAGATCAATTTTTGACAGTCGTGCTGTGTCCAAGTCAATATCATCCAGCGTCAGATCTTCATTTTTAGCCTTCTGCTCCACTACTGCGGTCTCTTCAAGACCCTGCACGCTATTTATCGTGTCGAGTTTCTCCTTTTGCTGAATTGTCTCATTCTTTTTTCTTCGTTCACTTTCTTCTTCTTCATCATCATCTTGAATGTGGTCTCGTCTTATTACTTCATCATCTTCTTTCTTCCTCTTCGTTCCTGGTAATGTAAATCCTGGTGCAACAGCAGCTCGTACTGGATCACCACCACCACCAGTCTTCTTTTTCATCTACATTCATGCAACATTTACACACCAATATCATTCATTCGATCAGTCCGTCTACCATCATTCATTCGATCATCCCGTCTACCATCATTCCGTCTACCTCTTGTCGCTGCTGTTTCAATCGGTTAAGCAGAAGACGTTCTGCTGTATGACGTAGATTCGCTGTCTGTTGCTCCTGTCGTTTTCTACGTCGAGCTGTTGTTCGTTTCTTGATCTCAGGCGTTTGTCCATCAAATACAAACACTGGACGTATTTGATAATAAAGGAGTTTTGCAACACGATGAAGAGTTCCTAGAAGATGAGCATTGGGAATCATACGACCCTCGTCATCACGCATCGCTTTAATGAACTGTGTTAGCCAAATACTTGCATCAACAGCGAGAACTTGACCTGCTAGTGACTCAATCTCAACTTGTCGTCCCACAGGCGCTAGTAGAACCCATAGATTCTGGACGCCCATGATAAAGTGCTAATGATACAAGGAACAGACGCGTAACAGATTCGACAGGGTTGTAACAACTGTCACTTTTCTTGACACCAAACAAAACAAACACGTGATTGAAAAGAAAAAGCAATTTAATTGAAAAAAGCAATTTAATTGAAAAAAGCAATTTGTTGTATGGATTAGTCCATCAGAAAGCACAGATTCGGGATTCTTTTGTGCATGGTTTTATCCAATCGTTATACATGAATGACGAACGATTCCTAAACAAGTCTTTATTGCGAGCTCGTATTGTTATGTTGCTCCAAGGCAAATGTGCCCTGGTCGTAGGGCTCATGAATAAACACTCACTAGCTGCTGGTGTGACTCAAGCGTTACTTTCTAGCGGTGCAAGTGTTGTTGTATCGTCTAAGACTCCAATGAGCAAAAGTCAAGTCGAACGTTGCGCTTTTAAGATCCCGAAACCGTCTGAAGTAACAACTTCCTTGTTACACTTTGAACCGTGCGACGTCGAGAGCGATGCGAGTATTGAACAATTGATACAACGATGTGGAGAAGTATTTGACGGAGAGCTGGACATTCTCGTGCATTCAGTCGCATTTGCCCCGCGTGAAGCTTTTACGCATGGATTATTGGATTCCTCGAGAGCTGCGTGGATACAGGCAATGAATGTCAGTGCATACAGTTTAGTGGCATTGACGAAGGCAGCTAAGCCATTGATGATGACGATGGCAAATGGTGGAAAGGGAGGAGAAAAGAGACGAGATCGTAGCGTATTAGCACTGACGTATGCTGGATCGACAAAGGTGGATCGTGTCGGCTAGTTTGTTGTTGTTGTTGTTGTAGCTAGGAAGGAGACTGATAAGTGTCAGTTGCTTTTACTTCAATAAATGTGAAACAGGTTGTGCCTAATTACAATGTGATGGGTCCAGCAAAGGCGGCGTTAGAGGCGACGGCAAGGCAGCTTGCGTACGAGCTTGGACCGGAAGGTATCCGTGTGAACTGTATAAGCCCTGGACCAATGAACACAGTGTCGGCCCGCGGTATTCCTGGCATCTCAGTAAGTGTTTGTTGTATCTGATGATTGCACGAGGAATTTTAGTGGTATCTAGATCTCTCAACAAATAACGTGATGCTACAGAAAATGAAAAAATATGCTGAATCTCACGCCCCTCTGCGTCGAAACAGCTCAAGTATGGACGTTGGATCTGTTGCAGTTTTCTTGTCAAGTGACTTAGCCGCGTCCGTAACGGGGCAAACTATCTATGGTAAGACTCTTGTGCGAGAACACCAAGTAAATGCGTGCGATCATAACTTACTGAGTTTGTTTAAACTTGGTGTATTCAGTCGATGGTGGTCTGAGCGCCATGGCTCCGTATGCGAGAGAAGACTTGTAAGTTTGGGTCGACACGGCCTTAGCTTATATGACTCTTTGATGGAGACGCACTTGAGCCGATGAATACTGAATGGTGATGAATGACGAGACCGTAAGAAACAGTTTGCCAGGTATATGAACACACCAAAAAGTCGTGGATGTGCTGTGAACATACTGCCCCTCAGCACATTATAGCGCAGCAGCTGTGAAGGAGTGCAGGGTAGGGCAAACATATATTGCTGTAACCTGTAACATCTATATGTCGCGAATTAAAGACAGTTGGTTGCAGCCTCAGACTGTGCCACAATTCTGGCTGTGACGTACACCAACACCAACAAACCCAGTAAGTGTATACATTACCATATTAGGTTTTCTAACGATGCTGAAGCTAATGCAAAGAGACTATGCGTCCTAATTCATGTAAACGATAGCAATGAAGAAACATAAGCATTTACACACTGTGTACGACTTTCTAGAGCACGACCAACAATAGCCTCGTAGATCTCGTTGAGCTACGTTAGAAATTCATTCTTGCAGTCGAAGAGCTTGATCCACTTTCTCATGAACTCTGTGCAGCTCAAATCCAAACAACGATACATTAACTCATCTTTACTTAGCGAGAGCTATCAATAGACTAGACGACGTATTTCACTCTTACTTTGACCAAGCTCCGCATGCACTCGCTTAAAATGGCCATCAGATCTCGAAGTTAAAGTTCACAGATGGTGGTGCACCCGTAACGTGTATATCTGCGCCAGCTTTTTGCACAGTCGTCTTGGCAGCGGAGGTTTTAACAACAGGTTGCCCGAGGAATTGTTCAAAATAGACACACATTGCTCTGCAAATACGTAGTTTGTGTTAGCACTCCTCATGCCTCATCCTACGAAAATGTTTTTGAACGTCATGTAGATCTGCCATTGTGGCGAGTAAACCGCCAGCCAGTAGAAAGCAAACGAACACAAATGTCCTTGTTTGCAAGACGAAAAAGTCCATAGGAATTTTGGCAGGGTACGAGGAAACTCTTGACACATGAAAGATCCTCTTGTTACCAATTCAACCTTTACAATACCCTGTACCAATACAAATTCTTCATTAGGACACAACTCAACAACAACGTCTCTTACTTGGTGCATAACGTACATGATGTGACGCAAGAAAGCCTTCGTTGTATTCGTCATTCTGCCACAACATTTCTTTATAGCCGCTCACATCGACTGGGTCCGCCGTGCAGAGCGAAAATCCATACCCTGGGCAAATTGGATCAACCATATCACGAAGCGACGTGCATCCTGTGGCACCCCAGTGCTCAGCAAATTGCTTGGCTTTCTTCTCCGGTTCAGCGTTGTAGACACCACCGGCGAATCCCTTGTTCACGCTTGCATCAGTGAGACAATTGTAAGTCGTGTAGACGGTATTGGCTTTGTACGTTGCTTTGGGGCGTGAAATGTACCCGTGCGCGTTTCACACGGTCCACCAACACCATCAGAGTAAGGACATTCCAAAGAGTAAACGTCTTCATGGAATGGTTCTGTTCAGGCACTTGCAATTGTTTGAGCAAGTTTTACACTGTCACGATAAAAGTGCACTGCAATTGTGCGTGTAGGGACGTCGCAATGTGAACTTGCAGCAAACCATCCTACAGAAAAATCAATCAACTATCGCATGTGTGAAGAGCAGCAGAACGAAAGATCCTTCCGTTAGCCTTGAGATTTCATTTCTTTTGCTATTATCGTCTCCAAAGTCATCATCCTGGCTGAGAAGGTAACGCCCCACAGCGTAGACTCCAGCAAAAACGTACAAGTCCACGAGCACCGCCATGAAATGGATCGAGAGTCAATAAATAGATTGTAAATGAATTTGTATTTTGTTGACATGAATGCACACCGTGGAAAACAAAAGACGTAGTTGAGAATAAGTGAGTTCATGCCATCGTGGGGCTAAATGGCCATCAAGCTTGGAACGGGTTACACAATCAACGGGCACTTACTTCCACCTGTTTTCATTATTTCGCCCCCTTAGTAACTATTTGAACAAACACCGCTGTTACTGATGCGAAAACAAGTCTGAGCATGGAATCTCTAAAATATCCACCCCATCTGATTTCGTGCTAGAAAATCCAAACGACACACGGTCTTTAGGACATCCACCACAAATTGGAAGAACAAACACCACCGACCACAAATAGGAATAGCACGACAAAGTTGAAAGCCAACAGCTGTCTTTTCATTTCAAGAAATGCTGTACTGAGTAGCTTTACTTTCTTGTTCTGTGCGAGATGAATTCTATCATCCTCTCTACCTTTCTCCGCAACGGACAGCGTCGGTTTTACGATTTGTTCACGCAGATTAATGTAGTGTGCCTCAAGCTGCCTCTCCCTTCTGTTCAGACTAGTAGAACGCCATTGCGTGCATGTGATGAAGAACTAATGCACTAATGCGACAGGTCTTGATGCCTAAGGGCATCAATGGTACTTGCACCAACTTAGCATAGCATCGGCTGATGAATGATTCATTTGGTTGTCAAAGCCACATGTGCCGCACGCATAAACGCGAATGCAATACAATCAAGATTTTAGAGGCCACGTTTCGTCAACCAAACATCTCATCAGCCAAGTCTTTTTGGCGTCATAAGATACCTGGTCGTTTCAGAGCAAGCCGTGATGAATCAGTGCTGAGATGTACGCTAGTCTGGAGATGCTCTTTTCTTTATAAATGTGATATGACGCTGATTCTATCTATCTATATTTATGTATGTAGTCTTCTGTCGTCTAATCGCAGCTGGCTTTGAGCACACTTATGTCACTAACAGCTGTCCATGGCGGTACAGACGGTCATGACGACAACACCGTAGCCCCACATGTGCTGTCGACCGTCTTGTATTAAAAAGTACACAAACTGCATCGACCTAGACGACAATGAACAGAGAGAGAGAGAAACAAAGTCTTGTGCACATTGTCAAATAGTTCATTCTACAATTTGCCTCTTGAGCAACAGACAAACTTCGCGACCACATTTAAAGATGAAGCTCATTATCACTACTACTTTAGTTATCACCCATCTGGCCAACCAGATTCGCGCTCATGGCTATATGTCAAAGCCTCAAGCGTGCTTCAAAAATGGCTATAACACCAAGTACAATGCTCTCATAACCGAATCGATCGACCCAGCGTTTTCGAATCTCAAATGGAACGACAACCCCCTGGCTAATACCGCCACGTTTACCAAAGCGTTTCCGCAATCAAAGTTTAAGACGATTAAGGATATGATCGACTCTGTTGTAAAGGACTATGGCAACACTGATCTTAGCTGCAAACCCATCGAAGTGAGTTCGATGCAATTCATGACGTGGCAGAACGATGAAGAAAAGGTAGGGTTCGTTGCCTCACACCACGGACCTTGCGAGGGTTATTGCAACGGCAAGCGTCTCTTCACTTCCCATGACTGCGTTGCTGATTTTCTTGGTTACCCCGCTAAAATTCCGGCTGATTTCAAGTCGTGCGGTAACGGCGAGGGCGAATTCTGCTTTTTCTGGTTGGCATTGCACGAACCAAACTGGCAGGCTTATAAGCAATGCACCCCGATTGTCGTCAGTGGCGGCGGTACCAGTAAGACTCCTTCCGTTACTCCTTCCGTTACTCCTTCCGTTACTCCTTCCGGTCCTTCCGGTCCTACCACTGCTCCTAGTACTGCGCCTAAGGGTAATGACGATACTTACGGTACATCCGGTGCTTCCGACAATGTAGCTGGTGAAGCAGACGTCATCCCAGCTACGACGGCCTCGTCCTCGCCGGCTGGTGTGGTTGTTCCTGCGGCCATGAAGGAAGATTCGGCTGCACCGCCTACCGCGAAATGCAAGTCACGTCAACATCGGTAGACTGTTAATCTGAGATCGTTGAAGCAAGGCGTTTCAAGACCGGATGGATAGTGTTGATGCATATATGCCTATCGTACATAGATGTGTTCCATGTAACAAGTCTTTACTAATAATGTTGTGCAACGTGCATGCTTATTATGTCTATATCGTTTGGTCAATACCATATTTCGCCTTTTGCCGCACGAGTGATTGTGGGACAAGAGCAACAAAACCAATTCTGAATATCTCGGACCGGTGTCGCAAAGTGATTGTCCAGAGAGAAAGCTTACACAAGAACTTGTCAACGCGCAGCTAAAACCTCATTCTGAGCCAGAGTAACATGATCAATACCAATATAACTGACGAAAAAAGGTTGATGTAGGTGTTTATCAAACGCAACAATCAGGCTGACCTTGCTGTAGGCAGACTAGATGTTAAAGTCATCTAGTCTCATATTTTGATCGAAATACCGACCGTGTTTTCAGGTCCTATCATCTGTTTATCAACGTCAAGGTGATTTATCAAAGCAGCACGGAAAAGCTGCGCTCTTGAACTTGTGCTCCATGGCCATGACGCTTGACAAGAGATTGTACAAGACATTGACGTATCAAGTGTTGTGTCTCAAAGAGGTGACGACGTATGATAGAGCATGTTGGTCTAATAGCGTGTAGGAAAAAAAACGCCAAATGCGTTTTACAAGATGGGGAAGACCGTAACACACTGAACAAAAACGGATGATCCAGTTTCATCACCAAAGTGCATTGCAGTACGGACTTTTTTCTTTCGACCTATTCCTATACGACAAGACAAGCTCATATTTCCTGGACGACATTTTCTTGCTCGCTCGAATTCTAAATGCTCCTCCTAAAAGCTCTGCAAAGGTCGGAAAGAGCCGCTCCGCTCGTGTGTTGTACCAGCGTAAACTATTTGGTAATATATTTGTCTCCTGGTTTTACACAATCGCAATGTGTTTAAACACCTAAAACTGGTTTTTCAATCACCACCTTTATCTGGAATTTTTTTCGTACCAGGTACGAGTTAACAGCTCATGGATGTTAGCATAGTCTTATTTATAATTGTATTCATTCTCTAGCACTGTAGTTGTAATTCTTTCTTGTTTATTGATATACGATTGTATAAGTGCGTGCACTCCACCCATGGATCTCTCAAGTCTTCGAGTCAAGGACCTTACAGAAATCTGCCGTAATTTTGGTACGTTGTTCTTTTGTACCCTTATTAACGAGTAGTCTACTAAATAGGTGTGGCTACTCTATGACTATTTATTATTAGGTATTCGTACAAGTGGTCGTAAAGCAGACTTAGTGGCACGAATAAAGGCTAACGCTACATACCAAGCAGATATGGCAGCGCTGGCTAAAATTGACATTTGTCACGAGCAGGAGAAAAGCCACAACACGGAACTAAAAGAAGCTTAAGCACCAATGTAAGAATGTAAAGAAAATGCTCGTTAGTAGATTTTGATATATATGATAATCTCACGTGGAGATGTGCTTGTTGTGCTTGTTATGTATATTACAGTATACATGCAGCAATAAGAAACTGAAGAATGAGAAGGAGGACAATGTTGCAATTGACGCAGTGTTTACACGGTTTCTAGGTACGACCCCGTTGAAAGGATTGTTGAAAAAGCGTCAAGGATGTTGTTCATTTGTTTTTGTTTTCTATACTTTCATGTTTGTTATGTCAGATTTAGAAGCAGAAGAGGTGTCAATAACGGACGAAGGGATTCTGGCATTTTGTGATGCATTGGGAATCGATGCACAGGATCCAGTGATGTTGGCTTTAAGCTGTGCCATGGAAGCTGAAACGATGGGCGTATTTACACGCACCGAGTTTCGACGTGGGATGCACAAGCTGCATTGTCACTCGATTGAGGATTTACGTGATCAGATTCCGACTTTACGTAGTCAATTGCATGATCGTGCGCAGTTCTCTGCTATTTATTCGGTATGTGGACTTGACGTGATGAATGTGAATGATGGTGTTGACTTGAGCACTAACGAGGAGTTTATATCGTGGTGCAGTTTACATTTGGGTTTTCAAAAGATCCTGCCCAAAAGAGTTTAGCGTTGGAACTGGCCATAGAACTTTGGAACTTTTTGCTCCCTGGACATTTCCACTGGCACCGCCACTGGCTGCAGTATGTTCGAGAGCATTCACGAAGTGTTGTATCGAAAGACCTGTGGCTTCAGGTGCTGGACTTTGGCCTCCAGATTAAACCGGACTTAAGCAACTTTGATGAGAATGGAGCGTGGCCCGTGCTACTGGACGATTTCGCAGCACACATGCGGGAACTCATTACCAAAAAAGGACTTTCGGTCGTGCAACAGGAAGAGAATACCATGTCTACAGAAATTGATAAAACTGACGACGCTGAGAGCATGCTTGTGGATGACTAGCTACCCTACTTATGTTTAAGCTCAAAGAACGACAACTGTGACACATTACGTTATAAAGCGCAGACTGGATGATTTGCTGCCGTGTGCGTATTTGAGACCCGAGTTGCGTATATGAGTGGTGTTTGCTTACCTACACTTTGACTTGCTTCCAATGCTCGTCTTCATTGTATCAACACTGCCGCGCTGCAGTCTTGCGGCTTCTGCTAGCTTTTTTGCGCACCTTATCTACGCTTGTAAAGCGTAAGTAGCGGGATGGCGACGGCAGTCACGGCCAGGGCAAGGTACAATGGCGCGTTTGCACGTCTCTGGTCACCGCTAACGGGCGTCCTGGGTGAGACGATCACACGGTGTTTATGTGCCTTAATGTCATGAGCGTGCTTAACAATGTCGTAGCTTTCGTGTTTCTGGACCGTGCAGTGGCCGTCGGACGTAGTCACTCGGTAGCCGTTTGGGTAGTGAACATACGGCACGTAGATCTCCGTGGGTGCTGAAAATTCTGTGTTTACCGACACATATTCCAACACGTATTCAGCAGTTGCCATTGTAAACTCCGACTTCAGAGGAGTGCCAGTAATTTTGCGCGCGTGTGGACGGGCAAAACCTTTCAAACCCCGAGCTGGATCATCACGTCGGCGCGTGTGGCCTCCAGCAAGACGGATTGCTAACGCTTCGGAGTCAGAACTGCTAATACTCAGGTCTTCCATGTTCCACAGATCACCAAACTCGTGGGAGTTGTCAGACGCATAGTTCCACAACGCGAAGGAGAGTAGCTGTGACTCAAGGTTGAAGATCGTGTTGTCCATCGCCTCAATTTGTGCTGAGTAGTCTCCGCTAATATAGGCCCGAGCATTATTCATGTTATACGGAATCCCTGTCTCACCGATCAGCGTCGGTGCATTGCCCATCTTTTTGCGGCCAAAGCTAGCGATGTGGGCAAGTTGCTGCTGGTGCACTTTACGCAACGCTTTGTTGCCGAAGGCAGGCTTGCCGGTTGCAAAGTCCACCGTGAAAAACGAGCGCCATGTTGTTGAGAAAAGAGTAAGCACGTCGTACCAGTGCATGGCATTCACAGCATTTGGAATATCCTCGCTGGTTATTTCTGGAAACGCCTTATCACCAAATTCTGCGGGAGGCATCTCGATAAAGATCATAGCGTTTGGAAAAACGCGCTGCACTTTGTCCGCAAACTGTTTGGCAAAAGGTACATAGAAGTCCTTGCCAAAGTCGGCTCCTTCAAAGTAGTCTGGTTTAAGCAATTGAGGCGTTCCCTTTGCATCAATCACCCACACACCTGTTTCCTTCCACACACATCCAAATCCTTCCTTCCACGCTCGCACACCCTTTGGATCGACTCTTTCAACTCTCGATGGCTTTGCGCAAATCAAATCCATGATTCCAAAGTTCCAGATATCCACGTCCTGCGCAATACCTTCACCCAGCGCCATTCCCTGGAATGCAGTCGGTGCATATCCGTTTTGAACAATCCCCACAAGCTTTGTCAGGTCTTTGATTCCAATAAATCCACTTGAAGGTTCATTCATAGTTCCAAATCCTACAAGATTCGTCACTCCCTTCAAAGCTTGAGCCAATGCCATAATGGAATCCATATAGTGTGATTGCAGATACTCTTGAATCTGCACGCCATCTACATAGCATTTCGGTGCATATTTCTTACCAGCCCAAAACAACGTAAACATAGTAGCACATGCTAATTTTCCATAATTCGTAGGCCAAATCATCTTGGGGTACTTGGACGCTGGAAGACCGCACGTCTCCAGACATAAAGCTGCTTTTGTGATCTCAAAGTGCCTTGGTTCAAATCCAATACACTCCAGTGTCCACATGGGTGCACCATCTCCTCCTGTCCATCTTGACCACACGTCTTGATGTGGGTCGATATAGACCAACATATTATATTCCGCTGCCTTTTCAATCACTGCACGAATGTATTGAAGGTATTCATGATCAATTTGTCCAGGCCCAGCGTGTTCAATGGCCTCCCATGTTACAATAAAACGCAGAAACGTTAGTCCCCAACGTTGCAAGCGAGAAAAGTGTAAATCTGCTTCCTCTATAGGGAATGGACGTCCAATAAATGACACAGAGGCCGCACCGTCGAAAAAATCATTCATCTCCTGATTATCGGTATGTCCATAGCCAAACGGTAATTTGGACGATCCACTTAGATTAACACCACGAAGAAGTACAACACGACCATGTTGGTCGACAAAGTGTCCATTTTTAGTGGACAGAACGTCTTTTTCCTGGTCAGAAAGTGTCATGATTGAACCACTGCGCTTTGTTAATTAATGTAACGTGGAGGATAGATATGAGGCTGGTAAATAGAAATAGCAAATCGATTTGCATTCAAATATAGAGCACTTCAATATACAGCACGAAAGTCATTGATATACGGCGATATCCTCATTTTCATAGGGCAACGATACGGTATTCTCATGAAAGAAGAAGTGGGACGGTTAAGGTAGTTGGAGTGACACTAGCACATATCTCACTTATATCTTAGAGCACGAAAATCAATGCATGAAAATGGTTGTTACATTCGGGACCGTGCTATTTGGTGACAAGCACAAGGCCATTCTGCATTAATCCAACTGCTTGTATCGCTTTGATACTTCGTTCCTCGTTTTCATTATAGAGACACTTAGCATATACCTATCTCCATGTAATGTGGCAATGTACGTACGTTGGATAGTATCAACAGCTATGAGCTATATCACTTGAGGACATTAACATCATGTCACTTTGGTCGCCATGTCCCCATTCCCATCCTAGCAAGCAGAATAATAAAATCGCATTTACAGTCATGGTTCAATAAAATGAATCCGATCTTCTCGTACTTGGAACAGTTCAGTTGTGTGCTTTGCCTCGACAAACGTCAACACAATCTCTTTACTAGGTAGTAGCTTTGCAGCGCAATAGATGGGAGTGGCTTTTGATGCCTTTAAGAATCCTAGGAAATTTTAAGCCTATCCATAATCACATACCTGAGTATTACATTTCATTTAAAGACATGATGCCTGCCAAGTAGAAAGACTCAAGCATCTTTATTCACGTTTAGTGCAGCAACTGGACTCAGTGATGTTTAATTTGCAGTGTGAAGAAAGAGAAAAAATACGTGTTCACGAGGATAGCGGTTATACTACTGTCAAGAAAAATACGATCACGAGAGAACCTCACAAAGTGACATAGTACCAAACATGTCTGCATCACGTGCACTCCCAACTCGTACGATGAGGGTTGGGAGAAGCCCAAGTCATGAACAGCTTTTACAAAAAATTCAGCGTTGGGCTATACGTCATGTGAGCAATTGGAGAAGAATCGTCCCAACCAAAGATTCCAGGCTCCATGCTGATTGACAATTCTTCCGTCAGATCATTATCCGTCCAGTGTGAGTAATCACCAAACGACGTTTGGTCGGAGTCTTGGTCAGTGTACCAGCAACTAGGTGCACCAAAGTCAAGAACTAATCTTGATGATTTACGAGACATTGACACTTCACCTATTGAGTCATGCTGTTGGTCATGCAGCTGCACGGAAACCTGCAACTGATCTTCACAAAAGGTGTATCGAGGTTCATTGGTATTGCGGCTCGCCCTTTGATTGTCATTCAAATGAGCAACACAGACCGGATCATCAATGTCAGTAAGCCATTCGCCCATGCTTTCACTGCAGTACGCAGTAGGCAGAGCCGTCATTGCACTCGTCGTGGGAGACGAGTCCACTGTTGAAGAAAAAGAGAGTGAAGTGGGATCCAATGGTACAATCTCGAATGGTTCAAGTGGCATTGTCTCCATCATGTCTTGTCTCTGTTTCTGTGTATTATTTGTTGCTCTGATTTCCACGAGCATTTCCACTTTCTGTCGCTTGGCTTCATCGTGCATTTCCCGTCGTAATTCGTCCAATGACTCAATCTGTCGCTTTCGCTTGAACTCATTCAAGCTCGAGCGTTTAGCAACTTTTGGTGCAGGCACAAGTCTCAGCACTCGATCGTACCATTCATTGAAATTAGTGTCTTTCGTCCGGATCTTGGCACTACGTTTACCGTATTCGTCCTTGGCCCAGGCCTTGAGGAACTCGGCACGCAAGTGCCATAGCTCGTTACAGAGGTCATCATATTGTCCTTGTGTCATGGCATCGACGTTACTAGAGCTCCGCTTGTACTTTGCTTTCCCTTCAAACTGATGACCATGCATTTGTTTCTTGGAGATTCGCATGGGACAACAATTGAGCATCTGGGCAAGCCATGAACGGAGTGATGTCTTGGTTTCAATCTCAGCCAGCAAACCGCTTTGAAAGAGCGTAATGAGCTTTTCAAGATAAGCATCTTCTTGACGACTCCACTTGCCAAAGCGAACAGGTACATTGCGATCACGTGCACTCTGCAGGAAAGTCAAGGCACGGTCAGTAGATGTTTTTGAATGAGCAGGCGAGAGACTTGGACGAAGGTAGCTCACAATAGTAGATGGACTGTTAAAAGTCAGTGAACGCTTTGCCCGAAATGAGCTTTTACTCTTGCGTTTTAATGGAACCGATAGTTTCTCCGTCATTGATTGAGAATGATTGTCTTCTCACGTTGACTGCAAATTCAAGAGTGATAATGGGGGGGATTGAAGATCAACGTGTGTGTGAGTGTATGTAAAAAGTAGATGGACCTGTCGCTTTTGGCAATGTGAGCCCAGATAGACGGTTTTTATCAGCCATGGGGAGTTTGTGGTTGAAAGGACGATCTGGTGTGTTGGATGTCTAGGACATCGAAACATTATGTAGGCCCCAAGTGAGAAAGGGGTACGCAATGTCGTGCTAAAGTGGGGGATGGCGACAATGGAGAATGAATCATGCGTTCGATAGAGACACCCAACTTGACCTAATGTGTTATACTTCTGATATGCAGGTCAAGTGTGTAACGGTCATGACCACTTCAACTTTAGATATGTTTGACAACCAATGTAATAAAAAAAAAACGTCTCGTCTTCGCGATCTTCGTTTGACACAACCGAATCTTTATTGTTTTTCATTGAATGGCATTTTTTCACAACAGTAAATTGTGGCTTAATCGCTTGGTTTTCTTTGTTAGGTGTTTAAATCTAGTGGTAACAGAAATCTTGCGGTTTAGCCATTGTCTTCGAATGACGAGCAAGAGCCAGCTGCTGCTGACGAGGCCAGCGCAACTTTGTCTTCGATCTCAGGTTAATACCGGCTATCAAAGCTTAACATACTGGCCAATATTTTGTGTGACACGTTTCCCTTGTGACCACTGTATTTACTTGGTAAGAGCCGGAATGCAAGTTGCAGTGCTTGCGCCCTTTCGCGTTAAGTACTTTCGTTTGCAAAAATCTAATTTGTAGTATTTTGTATAAATGAAGAAAACAAGATGTTAAGATTTTCCAAATCAAATAGTAGTGGCACTATGTACAAAAACAAAGTATTATTTCACTTTTATACACCTAAAAGTCCATATAACGCTGCTATCTTTTGACAATCTTGATTTAAGATATGAAAGTGTCCCTCACCAACATTCTCTTTCTACTTGCTTGTAACTTGCTTAGTTGATAATAATAATTTTGGATTAGATCAAGCACAATGACTAAAGCCGTGCATTCGGACCAATGTCATGCCAGCAGTGATGCAACATCGTATCAACCACCTCCGTACCAACTAGCTGCTCACATTTTTGATAAACTGGCCAGGTATTGGCGGTTGGGATAGATACACCCTTACAACAGAACACTTGGCAGATCTAATCAGGTTCTTGACACCCGTAATGTCCAGTGTTGTGTTGCACTGCACTTTACATACGCGAGAACTACCTCATAGTCTAGAAATCATTGTTCCTTACGACATTAACCCCATGTCAAATAGTATCACCTGATCAAGTTGTGATGTTCATTTCCACCATATGCTTCTATAGTCTTCTTCTTTCCTCACAAGTTCGCCAAAAGTGCTGCGTTTTCCCAGTAGCAGACAATATCCCGATCAATTAACAGTACACAATTGTACGACACTACATATCGTGCGACGTTCTACTCCTTGGCTTTATCAGAAATAAATTGACTTGGGCTATTATGATACACAACTTGTGTATTGTGCGGAGAACAGAGCTCTTAGGACGTACATGTTTCTGCATTTTCCTTCGATAGCAATCAGAATTGTACAGAATATATAATTTTCGTTTTGGACGGATGCTTTCTGCAAGCATATCTTGCGATGTTGCACAGTTACAATGCCCTGGCCAAGATTTGAGACTTCAACAATGGCGATATCATGGATGATGCTGACCTTCACTTGTCCCTAATAGGTAATCAAAGACTTTATGTGACGATTCACTTCGCATCAAACGCTTTACTGGTTAGTCACAGAAAGTCGGACGCATTTTGTCATCATTTGCTACACATTCATAGTGCGATCTACAGGCAAGATACAATTTGTTAAACAATACCTGGAAGACGTCGCTTTTCAAGCCTTAGCTCCTACGCTGCTAAAACCAGCTTGGGTGGTAAAACAGCTTCTGCAGAAGGAGGGTAAGTGAGATGTGAGCAGTTTTATACGGTGGTCCTATAATGGCGACGGAGTGTGACTGCTTTTGCCTGCTGATATTGCATTTGACGTAATGCACTCACGTTTTAACGTGCTCTCAGTCATGACATGTCGAATGAGATAGATTTATCTGCAAGACAAGTAAAAGAACTAATTAATGAAGCAATATGTATGACGACAGTAGAAACGGAGACAATTATTCAAGCTACAAGGCACATGGAAAGTAATCGAAACAGGTGCTTCTGTTGAGGCTGTCCCCCCCCTCTCAAACTACAGGTCGATACAATGACTCAAACTAACTTCGTTTGATGCGTGTTTTTGAAGGTCTAACGCTTACAATTTCCAGTGCTCGAAGAGAACGAGTACTTGTCGAAACAATGTAGAAGTCGCAAGTAGTCATTGCACGTAACGATACCGAAACTCTATTCAATACAAAGAGAAGTTGCTTAAACCGGCGTGACATCAAAAGGGGTGGAACACAATATCGAATAATAAAAGATGGCAACATCATCTAGAATGTATACTGAACTGGAAACGCAAGTATTTTGAGCGTCCACAAACATTGGCAGCATTTCGTGACTTGGCCTAGTGCTCTCTGACAAGTTGATCAGCTGTCTTCAACGTCTAAAATGGAATTACAGATAGGTTCCTACTACTAGAAAGACCGGTACTTGAACACAATACGATAGAAGAGGATAAAGAGCTTAAATCCAGAACGTCAACTTTTTCGAATGTTCTTTTTCTATTGTTGTTTTTAGGTAAACAACAGCGTAGAAGAAGTAGGAGATAAAACAGTCGATTGGTTATTATTATACACAGACCGAGTAAAGAACGTTATCTTTCGTTTTAAATTAACCGGAAGTACTTTCAGTATACAAGACCCTACGCCTTGTCTTCAAGTCGCACGATGTCGCGGCGTAGAAAGATCAGCATGCTGTTGATACTAGCCGAGGTTCGCGCAGCTTTTGAACAACAGACAACACTGGATGTGAAGGTTGTGCTGGATGTCATTCATGAGGCGCAGTATCTAATGAATTTGGAGCCTAACGTAGTGTCGATTCCGGAACGAGCTTCAACTTACGGTAAATGAGCAAATTTTTGTCTAGCGTATACTTACTCGATACAAACAAACTACGGACGACTAAGATTATGATTACGTGTTCAATTGGTAATCAGTATTTGGTGACATTCATGGTCAGTTTTATGATCTGATGCAATTGATGGACGCCGTTGAAGTTACAGATTTGGCAGGTGAGGGGGTACACACTATGAAAACAGCTGATTACGCTTCACCAGTTTGAGAGTTACAAAGTCGTTTCTTTTTTGTCTTATGTGGAGTTAGAAAGGGATGTTCAGCTGGTATTTCTAGGTGACTATGTAGACCGTGGAGCCTTTTCATGTGAAGTCATGCTGTATCTATTTCTATTGAAGATTCAGGTACACAACTTTCAATCACATTCGCTTGTATTTTGTATGGTTCTATTCATCCATGGTCCAGCAGTATCGTTCCTAATGAATTGCTGATTTTAAATTACTTGATATGAATCACAAAACAATTCTGCATCTTGTTTTTACTATAGTTTGCTGATAAGGTCATTCTTCTTCGTGGAAATCATGAGTGTGAATCCATTTCATCTTTCTATGGGTTTCGTAATGAATGTAACAAATTTCATGATATTGATAGTTTCCATGGTTGAATGGCTGATTCTAATTTTAACGATTGCTACTGACGTGACAAGGCCGAGTCAAGTATGGCATCTCGATATATTACCACTTTTTATCCAGTTTCCAGTCCATGCCACTGACTGCGTTATTGTCCACGTCGCGTGGAAAAATTCTATGTGTCCATGGTGGACTGTCACCTGAGCTCAAGTCGATTGATGACATTCAAGCCATTGACCGACGTCGAGAGATCCCTATAGCTGGACTTTTGTGTGACCTCTTATGGTCGGACCCTCAATCTCGTGGTGTCGACGCAGAAGTCGACGCGCAAGTATCTTGGAAGCCCAATCAGGTGTTGTACTACAACAATTGTCAACGTTTCTTCGATTTTGATGGACTTGTGTCTAGATTTCGTGGCTAATTAGGTGTTTTGTCAAAATGAAAGGCTCGCGGTTGTTCCTATTACTTCAACGCAGCAGCGACGTTCGAGTTCCTTGGCAACAACAAGGTACTCTCATTGATACGAGCTCATGAATATGACGATGAAGGCTTTACGTTCCATTTCAGTTCTGAGGAATTCCAAAAGCTGGACAATCGGCAAGATAAATCCATGCCTCCTCTTATCACAGTGTTCTCGGCACCGAACTACTGTGACACTTACGGCAACACGGTACGCAGGCCTTTGCTACTGGTGATCTCATATATTACTGCGATTGTGTAAAACCTTGTATGTGCTTTCGTGTTGTACAACACTAGGCAGCCTATTTGCTCTTTCGAAATGAGCCCTTTTCGTGGGAGATCCAGCAAGTTAAGACGGTGGGACACCCTGCTCCACCGATTGAAAGTGCTGAGAGAGGACCAGACATGTGGCGATTATTCAACGAAACACTACCATTTCTTCCAGCCAGCAAGGAATTTTTCGTGGAGGTGTTGTGGTTGGCCCAAGGACGCCGAGCTCAAATGGCATGTCAGATTACACCTCGTTCTTCGGTAGTCCCTGCTGATGCTCGTGGCCCCAGCAAGGGCAATTTCGCTGAGAATGAAACTCCAGTAGGTAAAGTGAAGATGAAAAGAAGTTGGTGTGTATCATTGGATGAGGCTCTTACTTGTCTGTACGTAATTACAGAACGACGCCGGCGTATGTCAAGTGAAAAGCATCCACAAGCTATCCGAAAAGTACTGGACGATGAAGTGGACAAGTGGGAATTAGTTGAAGACAATACGCAACCTTTTTTGGGGACAAGGTCTCCTCCACGAATCCATCGCAGACCGTCTTTGAGCAGCATGGAGGGAAAACAGACTGACGAACGGCCAAGTGTGAGCTTACGCAGTTGATTGAGGCCTGACATTGAACTAGAATGCGGTTTGATGCTTTTCTGGATATTTCTTTTGTAGATACTGACTACGCAAGAACTTGACACGATAAAGTTGATGTTTTCGCTGATGGACACGGACGGTAGCTTAGAATTGAGCGCGGCCAAAATTTCAAAATTTGTACTCAATATTTTGGGTACGTGTGTCTTGCATGAAACAATGCAACTAAAGGTGTGACTCAGTTTCTGTTGCAGGCGAAAAGATTAGCACTGCAGATGCTGACAGATACTTGGATGCTCTGGATTACGATCAAAACGGTGTTGTGGACTTTGCAGATATTCTATCCTGGATTGCAGTCATGAAAGCAAACCACAACAAGTCCCATTCAAGTAGCTTTCCGAGCTTATCAATTTTTCGAAATGGTGCGCAAATGCTGACATGCGAGTTGAATTTTACAAAACTCTACCTGTGGCTGGCATTTCTGTGCATGTTCCGGGATATCATTGTTTCAAAGCAGCGGAAAATGATCAAGTCGTCATTCATTCGATTGCTTGGTTCAGTATCACTTGTGCTGTATATTTTGGGTCTTTTATCTGGAAGAACTACTGGTCAAGAGCGTGTCTGGTCACGTTTCCTTCATTTACGAAGTGCAGCCATGGATATTAAGCAGAAATTTTTGTGGAAGTGAAATGGATTGGATGTCAGTCAAGAGGAAACAATATCGTTGATTATTTTCGTAATGTCGTGATCAATCGTAAATCAGTCCACAATTCCGTTCGTTCTTCAGATCAGTGTCAAACGTGTTAATGTGGTGTTTTTTGTGGGTCATATGTTTTTTTTGACTTGATCCCAAAAGCATAACCAGCTAATTTTAAATATCGTATTTTCATAAGATTCATTTCGTGTGTAAGATCGTTCGGTATATAAATTACTACAGGTCATTTGTAAGGAACCCACTATCTTTCTCGATCACCTCATAGTGCCATTACGAACTATGGTAAGTATAGGAATGGATTCTTGCTACAAGAGTCTGCATAGTATGTAATTCCTGTTGATTAATTCTTTACTCAATCCTCTTGTATATGTAATAACATACATTGATAGGCTAATCAGTCAGCCAAGAGAGCACAACGTACCAGTGCGACGCTCAGCACGCGCTTGCAACAATATATTGTGCCAATCAATGTGCTATACCTACTGTATTGCATTCTATGGCACTATAACACAGTGACCTTGTGGACTCTTCTGGGTTATGTCTTTTTGTCTTTTTCGACCTATCTGAGCTACTCGTGGGTAGTTGGGGCAGCTCAGGAAGGAGGCAGCAGCGAGTACGTTGATCATGGCTTTTTACCCTTTAGTAATTGATATGTATGATTGAATTGGAGAGATTTACCCATTTCGACCCTTGTAAATATGTCCATTATAGGTATGCAATGGACGTTTTAATCATCACATTGTTTGTACAAGTCGGACTTTTCATTTCGAGCTACTTTTGGCTCGTGTATCTCATTGTTCCAGGCTACATACTTTACCACGGAGGTCGCATGTTACTCAATTATGTTTTCACGCCCAACCCTACGGATGACGACGATCCAAATGCTCTGAAGAAAAAGGAAAAGGCAGAACGCAAGGCTGCACGTCCAAAATTCAAGAGGAGCCGTCGGTGATTTGACCACTTGTTTTGTAGTAAAGCGAAGCAATAGCACTAGGACTACGTGCAATGACATTTACAGAATGATGTGACAACAGCTCGTTTTTGATAGCACAAATCTTGATTGTTGTCACTACTGAGTGTCTCTGTCTTGGAACCTCTGTCTCGAATTGACAAGCTCAGAGCTGGTCTTACATACTTAACTGCAGAACATACCACGGTTTCAGGCTGCATTGCTTGCGTGTGTCGATAATTGTCCAATGTCATAGCTCTCGAGATAATTCACTTTGCAAATGTAGGGACGAGGCCTGCACGTGTTGCTTAAATAATAATCAGCAAAGCAGAGAAGCTTCCACATAAGACTTTATATCTTCAGATCAATTGCGCCGTGATAGTTTAAGATTGGTTTGTCGAGTTAATGAACAGGAAGCCTGACGCAATACCTCTGACGTGTGCACTATATAGCAACATGTTGTTCATTTGTCACAGTTGTCAAAGACTGTAAGGTCTGACTAGAATCCATTAGTTTTGCTCTTCTTGTTGTTTATGAATCTGTGTCGCAATTGCAGAAATCGTCATGGGATGAAACGGCAAACTCGTTGGTGCATCTGGATTTTCAAATGGATGTCGTGCAATCTCATACAAGAGATCTTCAGGTAAACGGTGAAGCAATTGTAAAGCCACTGAAATAAGGAGGTCTGATTGAAGAGGTGGCACACAACGAAGACTCAACACCTTCATTAAGTCCATATCTCTAAAACCCCAAAGCAAAAAAAAAAGTATCATCGTAATTGTGTCCATCATGTTATCGTTGAGCATAACAAAGAAAGAGAATCAAATGGTAAGTAACGTACAATTGTAGCAAATGTTTGCGAAGTAATACCGTATGTGCAACAGCTAAAATCACCACAAAATGAACACCAACTGCAAAGAGCTATATCATCATTATCACAACAACCAAAATGAATACAATCAACAACCTTGTCATATCAAAGATAAAACTAACGTCAACCCCATCATGAATCTCAAATACTGAGAAAAAGAGACTGTACCACATCCCAAACTCGAAGAAGTTCATGCAATGGTGGTACACACGCAAATAAACTCAAAATCAATGGTAGGGCGTATATTTGCGCTGTAATACCTCGTTGAGACAGGTGGTGATAGAGATCTGGATCCAACTTTATCAACATTATAGAACAAAAAATGTCACATTTCAAAAAAAAACCGTAATCCAAACTTTAGAAACAACAGAAAAATCGACTACCGTTTGTAAACATTTGTCCACAAGGGCACAGCCTTTTTCAACACCCTTAAGTTGTGGTGCCATATAATGCGGACAATGTCGCACAATCAGTTGACAAAAGGTATGATATGCATCTGGTTCCGGTAATACAAATAGTAATGGTGCACACAGCACATTCATTCCTTGAACGTATCTGTTATTTTGTTTTGTCACACAAGATAAAATATCGAACAATGATAAATAAACGCAACCTGACCTCATAACCATTTGTTCTTTTTTTTTGTGCTTTTTTCGTTACAAACCTGATTAATGGCACATTTCCACCGCATCCATTCTTGCCATGATCTTGTTTTTCATCACCAGGTGTTGAACCCAATTCATTGATAAAAACATTCAAGAGTCGCACTAATTTCTCTTCTGGCACACGTTGAGCAAATTCTGGATCACCTCGAAACGTACGAAACGTATCGTTACGAATGTCGCCATCATAATGCGACGCACCACGATCCACAAGTGCCGCATATTTTGTCATATCGACGTCCTTTTCCACTCCTAAAAAAGCCTTCCATACTCTTCCTCGTAGAGAACAGAGACTAGAATTAGTGTCATCAGATGATATGATTTCATCACGAGGTAGACCGTTCACAATCACAAGCCGCTTTAGTTCTCGCCAACGTTCGTAGTCGGACGTAATTGAGTCATCAGCTAATAGTGCATCGTATTGCTCACGCAATCGAGTGCTGCTCATACTGTAAAGAAGAGAAGAAAAAGCTAATTCATTCATGATTGGTGGAAAATATGGTTATGAAAACGACTAATAGACAGAGGACATGGTTAATAACGTCGTCTGTCGATACAAATTCCACAATTTATTTGTATTGCAAAGATTTAGTGATGGAAGAGAAAGAAGATGTAGAGTTTTGTGTCGAAGTGGGTACCCGAGTGTTGGTTCGTGGTAAATATGCAGGGGTGGGTGTTCACTTAACGCGACAGGGAGATTTTCTTCACTTTTCCCACAAGCTGACCATCTACTTGTTTAGGTAATTCGTTACGTGCCTGAACGTCGTACTGCTTTAGTTGGAGTAGAACTTACCCGAGCACGAGGAGACAACAATGGTGTTACAGAAACTGGCCAACGTCTTTTTGATTGCAAACCATTGCATGGCATCTTCGTTCGTGAAGAGCAACTTAGTGTATGTTAGTGTTCTATTTTCTTTTTCCTATATCTTGTTGTTTATCTTGTATTTGTGTGTTCATTATGTATAATTTGTATCTAGGCTTTTTCTGAAAAAGATCAAGCAGCTTGTGTGTTGCAAAGTGTCTGGCGACGGTACAGTGCTTCACAGAAGTTTCGTCATCTTGTGTTGTCACATGCGTGGAATTTACTAGACAATACTCAAGAGCAACTGAACTTGAAACGTTCCGAGCAATTCAAGTCAGCGCAACACACTCTTGCTCAACTGACCAAAACACAGGTAAAAGTGCATGTCGCATGTTTTTAATCATTACTTTTTTTTACCTAAACAAAGTGTTTTTTGTGTCAGTCAATATCACGTACAGTCTCAGATACGGACATATCTGAGATTCAGATTGAACTTGAGTACACAGGACCTCATTTAGTCTGGCCATTGGAATTATCAAATGTATTGAATCTATTGGATTCATTTAAAACGACACACATTTTACATTACAAATATGTATTGGAAATACTCCAAGAAGGTGTAAAATCTTTTACACCATTACCAACGTTACAAGAAATATCACTTGTAAAAGGTGAAACACTCACGATAGTTGGTGATCTTCATGGTCAATTACAAGATCTTTTTACGATTTTTTCCATGAATGGGGTACCTACCTGTACAAACAAATATCTATTTAATGGAGATTTTGTCGATCGTGGTATATACGGTACAGAAGTTGTTGTGACAATTTTACTCTTTCGTCTACTGTACCCGACTAGTGTATTTCTTAATCGTGGTAATCATGAATCCCGTAATCAAAACACATGGATGGGGTTTGAGGAAGAAATATGGATGAAATACTCTCCTAATAATAATGATGACGACAACAAGAACAACAACAACTTTGAACGTCCTGTGGTTCTATTTGAGTCTTTTCAAGCACTTTTTGAGTCACTTCCACTATGTGCTATTGTCCAAGAAAAAATCTTTGTTGTACATGGTGGATTATTTTCACACGATAATGTCACATTAGCTCATTTACGTGGTATATCACGTAAACGTGAACCTCCACTTCATTGTGTGAATTTAGAGGATAAAATCTTTGAAGATCTGTTATGGAGTGATCCACGTCCGATTGGATCACGTCAACCGTCTGAACGTGGGGCTGGAATTGAATTTGGAATTCAAGTGACAAATAATTTTTGTTTAGTCAACAAAATTGCATTGATTATTCGTTCCCACGAGTGCGTAATCGAAGGTTATGAGATTCTTCATGGTGGTCGATTGATCACGTTATTCTCAGCATCAAGATATTGTGGGACGCAAATGAATAAAGGTGCTTTTTTGACCTTAGGACCGGACTTGCAACCAGAAATTCAACAGTTTTATGCTCATACGATCAATAAAACGACTTTGAAAGCACCAAAACAGGCACAGATGCAAGATGTATTAGAAGAAGATACACTACGAATGATTGCGGAGCGCATTTGTGATCATAAAGTATCATTGTATTGGTATTTTACACAACATGATGAGGAACATCATGGAACGATTCCTCGATTAATTTGGGCTGAAGCTCTTCGGTCTGTTTTGCAATTGGATTTACCATTTTTAACCTATCAATCGAAACTTGCAGAACTAGTCGATGAAACATCAGGACGGATTAATTATTCTCAGTTTCTCGCTCGTTATCGTATTGAAAATAATGCCATGGACAATAGCGGATGGCAAGAAAGTATTATTGCACTTATTTGCAAGAAATTGTATCGTGCAATGGGCGCTGGCGATGTACAACAAGCTTTTAAGGTATTTGATACCGATTCAAACGGTTTTATTGAGTACGAAGAATTTGTTACGACACTTAAGCAAATGGATACGGGATTAGCTGATCAACAGGTATTTGAGCTCATGCGTACCGCTGATACGAACGACGATGGACGTATTGACTTTCATGAGTTTGCTCAACGATTTGAGGTTATTTTCACTGATCAAGGTAAAAGTCGTGATGAAGGTAATGTGTCTATCTCGGTGGTGGAGCCACGTCCGACCTCCAAGACTGTAGATATGGAAATTGTGACCGAAAGCGAGAGGACCGTGACAGAGCCTCTCTTGGCGTGCAAGGTATCATTGGGAGATGAAAAGTCAACGCTGACGCCAGAGCCTGCAAGAAATCTTGACGTCGAGACCATGCAGGCGCTATTGCAGGTTGGCAAGGCGCTGTTCTCCCGTCCGGGGTCGCTGCAGTATCATTTTTACCACTTTGACAAAAACCAGGATGGTGTTCTGTCCCGTAGTGAGTTTGAAGATGCCCTTGAACATTTAGGTTTTAACTTTGAACCGAGTCTGATGGATCGGTTGACGGCTGCCGTGGACAGAGATGGGGGTAACTCGATTGATTACAAGGAGTTTGTGACGGCGTTCAGTGTGCAGGACCTGAAGGAGCAAGCAGCACTTGAGTCTGGCGAACTTACGTGGCAGAACTCGGTGTTGCAACAAGTCTCCAACGTGTTTTATCAGCACCGTATCCACATCCGTAATGCCTTTCGCATGTTTGATGCATCGAATAGTGGAGTCATCAGTCGCGACAATTTTCGTACAGGTATTCAGGCTTTTAACGTGGTACTCAACTCTCCGCTCTCGGACGACCAGATTGAGGAGCTGCTGTCCTATCTTGACAGCAACAACGACGGCGTGATTAGTTACAAGGAGTTCTTTGATGGCTTTCGTGTGGTGAACGTACGCGTTGCTGAGGACAAGTCTGTCGGGAACAGGTTGACGGAGGAATGTACAACGGAAGGTTGAACATGCCTGTGGGGTGCTGAAGTGTTGGCTTGCAGGTTGATCATGAACTTTGCAATAATGACCGAAGGGTTTACACGTCATGATCGCTCGTTAATACCAGCGTCAAGAGCTCTTTGGATGTTCAACGCCTGCGCTTGAGGCCACATGTGCAAAACTAAATCGATTGTATCGTCAAATAAGCTTAAAGCTGTTAAAGACGGCGTTATTGTAGTCTTGCAATAGCCTTGGCAGAAGGTTTTGAAGCGGCTTATTTGGGTGCGATTGCATTGATTATACGGAGCTGTACTTGTTTTGAAGTAAACCGTATTCTCATTACGTCTTTCCTTGCTGCCTGCCTAACGTTTGTAGCTAGCTATCCAATAATCAAATACAATATATAGGCACTGGGTGCCAGAAGTGACGAGATCAACATCCTTTTCTTAAAAATGCGTGCCCGATGACTCTTTTCAATACTTGTATCCTTCGATGTAATCAAAAGCCAGTGACTTGTCTTTGATGGATCATGCATATAAGACACTACGTCCCACCCATCATGCGATTGACACGAGAAGCAGCCATCAGACGTCTCGACAGAGTAGCCCTTAGAGTATTGCAAATGCGGCACAAAGATCTCCGTAGGGTGCATGGAAGTGTCAGTGGACTTGCTTGGATCGGACATGTACTTCAGCTCGTAGCGCACGCAGTCAAGCACAAACTCCGATTTGAAAGGAGTACCAGCAACACGTGTGGCGTAGGGACGAACAAATGCTTGAGCCGCTCGCGCGCAGGCATCTCGGTCCGGCACCGTGAACCGTCCATCAGATCGGACAAGCTTATCTTTGCTGATCAAGCTCAAGTCTTCTAAATTCCACTGATCGCCAAAGTCATTGCAGTTGTCAGACGTGTAGCACCAGAGTGTAAAAGAAACCATAGAAGCCTCTAGACACGAAATCGTGTGGTCTAGGGCTCCAATCTGTGCTGCAAAATCTCCATTTCGATAGGCTTTACCACCATGCATGTTAAACGGGATACCTGTCTCACCAATAAGCGTTGGAGCGTTATTCATCTGCTTACTACCATATGCCTTGATACCCTCCAGTTGCTTCATATGCATCCTGCGCACAGCTGTAGAGCCAAATGCTGGACGCTTCGTCCTCGGATCCACGGTAAAGTACGGGCGCCAGGCTCGTAAAAACAGCGTGACACCATCGTACCAGTGCGTCGCATTTACCGCACGCGGGATAAGGGCATCATCTATCTTAGGGAATGCATCGATGCTGAACTCGAGCGGTGGCAGCTCGACGAACAGCAAAATGTGAGGCAGGATGCTGCGAATGCGCTCAGTGAAGCGCTGTAATAATGATAAAAGTAGCATTAGATATTTGTCCATACAAATTGCATGCAACAGATCCTTCGTAACGTACTGCTGCAAAAGGCACGTAGCAATCTCGGCCAAACACGATATCTGCAAAGTGGTCTGGACGCAGCAGCACTGGTTCTCCCGATGTCTTATCAACGTCCCAGACCCCTTCCTCCCTCCAAATACAGCGTCGTCCTTGCTGCCAAGCGCGAGTTCCTTTCGGATCCACTTTCACGATCTCATCGGGTCGTCCAAGCACATGTTGATTAATACCATTTGACCAGCGTTCAACAATCTGCTGATAGCCATCAGCCAGTGCCATGCCTTGAAACGGTGTAGGTGCTAAGTCATACTTGAGTTCACCATGATGAAAATGCTTTGACAAATCTTTTAGTCCCAAGTACCCAGAAGACGGTTCATTCATTGTGCCAAATCCCACCACATTTGTCAATCCTTGTAATACTTTTGCAATTTCAACCATTGCATTAATATAATGAGACTGTAGATATTCCTGTACTTGTACACCGTGAATCCAACACGATGGAGCACATGTTGCACCTCCCCAAAAGAGTGAAAACATGGTCGCACATGCCATTTTAAAGTAATTTGTAGGCCAAATCATTTTTGGAAACTGCACAACCTGAACACCACATGTTTCAAGACATAACGATGCTTTTGTTGCATGAAAATTCCGTGGTTCAAGGCCCATGGTTTCCAATGTCCACAATGGTGCACCGTCTCCTCCAGTCCATCTTGACCAAACATCTTGATGGGGATCAATATAAATATTTAATCCATACGTTGCTGCCACTTGAATGAATTCTCGACAATAAAGTAGATAATCCTGATCATAAATCCCTGGTCCTTCATGTTCAATAGCTTCCCACGTGATAATAAATCGGACAAACGTGAAGCCCCAGCGTTGTAATCTTGAAAAATGTATAGGTGCGTCATTTAATGGAAATGGACGATCTATGAATGTCACTTGATGGGCATTCGTAAAAAAACTGTCAAAATTAATACTTGAACTCGTCGTATGAGCCAAACCACATGGGAGTTTAGAACCTAAATTAACACCACGTAGAAATCGTACACGACCTTGAGCATCAATGAAATGACCATTATGAATACTTAGATGATGATCATTTGTTGTAGGTCAAACAACATTGTGACATGGGAAGACGAAAAGTCGGTATTTTATGAGAGAGAGATGAGAGTGAGACACCAGATTTCAATAAATTGCAATTTATGTGACGGATTTTTATTACGTGGACCAAAAAATGGAGAAAAAAGTGAGACAATGTGACCAAAAGAAATCGATTGGTTTGTTTTGATCATGACAAAAACAGTACGTGTTTCAAATTCAGGCGTACCTTGTTACTTCACAGGTTAAGAATAAAAATAGTACTTTTCTTGATAATACTATTTATCCAAGTAGTACTAAAACTGATCGTTATGCCATGGGCTGTAGTACTTTTAATAGATCGTACCAAAATTATGTATTAAAACGAGTTTGAAACAAATGCCAAATAAAAATAGTCCTACTAGTAACAAAGCGAGTAATCAAACATCCATCAACGAACGCTTTTGATATCCTTGCGGATGTCTCCTTCGTCCCATGGCTTGAAAAAATCACATGCAACTTCTTGCCCTTGCTCTCGTTCGTATTTTGGACAGTACATCGTCGCGCAAACCCATCGGCACACACAGTCTATAAGGTTCATGCACTGTTGACCCATGGCATGGTAGGACCATAGGTAACAAGCGAACGGTGGTAATGTTCCAGCATTAAAAGATAACAACTGAACCCACCCAGCTGCTAAAAGGAGAGGGGGCAGGCGGGCGATGGCGCGATGGGGAGCGAGCAAGCGATCAAAACCACTTGTCAAGTGCTCGACAACCCTCTTTTTTATTTGTATTTCGATAGGAGCAAGCCCACATCTTGATACAAAAATCAAGATCAGTTGTCGTAGGTATGCAATAAATACGCCACCTATTGTCCCATAGTACCGCGTTGTCGTCAATGTCGACACTATGATCAAAGTAGTAGTAGTGGTCGTATTGTTATATTATATGGCTAAAGCCATCACCACTTGGATAACCAGTTTGAGGTGATGTAATCCTATCTTTTGTCATGAACCTATGTTTGCTCACTTTCCTACTTTTAATAGTTTCCTTTAACAAAGTCTATCATACAGCATATATATTCCCCTCTGAACGATTCATCTCCCCGTCTCTATTCCACATTTTCTGAATATCCAATCAAATCTCGGCGAGTGTTCCAGTTGCTCGATGCTCGATGGCAGCTGGTGCGACGGAAGAGACTACTTACAAATCTATAGTCATGTCGTTCCCCCCTCATTGTGCAACCTAACCACAACTATAGTGCGACGAGCACTTGAAAGAAGTCTCAGTAAATTCTAGACAAGAAGTTAAAGACAATTGACAATTATTATTGTCCTCAAAGAACAAGTTGATTAACGGTTAATGAGTGCGCCCGATGAGTATCGTGGACCCAAGTTTGTTGGTATCATGGGACACGATAATGTGAGCCATAATGGCAGTAAGACTACTGTCTATTTCGTTCAGGTACAAACACCTGACGGTATGTTTATTGTCCGACATCGTTATCATGAATTTAAAGACTTTTACGATAAGGTAAAGCGACTTTTGATTGGTTTGTTTCTCTGTTGACGAGAAAAAATGGTAGAAAAAAATTAATGCTTGGAGGAGAAATGAAGGTGTGTGTTCTAGTACTAATGATGGGGGCATTGCACACTGTACTCTTGTTTGTATGTAGTTAACGGGTGAAGGTTATCGTTGTCCAGCATTACCGCCAAAGAAATTTTTGGGTAATAACAATAAGGAATTTATTGAAAAACGACAACAGGAGTTGGCCAATTGGTTACATTTACTGTGTCAATTTGATCCAGCGTCGGGTACCTCCGATCCTCGCACATCGGAGTTTTTCAAGGAATTTATGCTGACTAATGTACAGTTTCTGACTCACTATTGAGTTATTGATCGCATCTGTGACATGAGGCACTGACTCTTTTTTTGGTATGTCGGTTGATGTGATTGATACATGTACTGAATAGAAAGAGCCTATGGAGAAATACCAGGGAGTTAAAGCTATTTCATGTGATGCTACACCCCCTACATCTCAATCCTCCGAGGCTGATAGCGAGACGGGTTTATACAATACACCAAAAACCACACTGGATGATTTTGAGTTGCTTAAGGTCATTGGAAAAGGATCGTACGGTAAAGTGACGCTTGTGCGAAAGAAAGAAGGCAATCGTTTGTTTGCCATGAAGTCACTCAACAAGTCCAACGTGAAGCGTCGCAATCAAGTGGAGCACACACGTACGGAGCGGCGTGTGTTGGGTCGTGCGAAGCACCCATTTATTGTGCACCTGCACTACGCTTTCCAAACATCGCAGAAACTTTACTTTGTGCTGGACTATTGTCCTGGCGGTGAGCTGTTTTTTCACCTTTCACGTATGGAGAAGTTTGAGCCAAACATGGCCCGATACTACTGTGCTGAAATCACATTGGCGCTTGAGCACTTGCATGACTTGGGTGTTGTCTACCGGTGAGTATTGGTCATGCATGCTGCTGTGTTTAATGGCTGCAAACCTGGCATTCTAACAATTGTTTGTTTGTGTTATTACAGGGACCTGAAGCCGGAAAATATTTTGTTTGATCCCGTCGGCCATGTTTTGCTTGGTACGTTATGTTTTTGGTTAATGTATGAGACGCTGTTAGCATTTTCCTGACTTCGTAATTAATGTCATTATCGCAGCCGATTTCGGGCTTGCTAAGGAGGGTATTACTGATGGCGCTGAGGGCACCAACTCCATGTGCGGTACACCGGAGTATTTGCCGCCTGAGATTCTGGACCGTGTGGGACACGGCACTGCTGTAGACTGGTGGGCAATGGGCATGGTGCTGTACGAGATGCTGACGGGCTTGCCTCCCTGGTACACTCGCAACCGTCAAAAGCTGTTTGACCGTGTCCGCAATGCTCCTCTGACGTTTCCTGACGATGTCGACCCTGTCGCTTGCGAGTTTATTGGTGGACTGCTTCGACGCGATCCGAACAAACGTCTAGGTAGCAAGAGTGCAGATGAGGTGAAGAATCACCCATACTTTAGCGGCTTGAATTGGCAGGATCTCTATGACCGGAAGATCCCGCCTCCGTTCAACCCTTGTGCTACTGCCGGCAACGCCGAGGAGACAAAGAATTTCGAGGCAGAATTTACCAAGATGCAGATCAACAGCGTGGAAAACTCTGCTTTGGGCAGTTTGCGCGTTTCAGACGCTTCACGCCCTTCGATGACGTTTCAGGGCTTTACGTACAACACGCCTAATGATCTGTCCATGAGCGGTTCTGTCGGCCGGGGCTAAGGCATCCATGTTATGTGGTCACGGTTTTCCTTGCTGTTTCTATCGATGGATCCATTAAACGTACGAGTGGCTGTGACGTGACTGCTGGAAGGAGAAACGCCATGAAGCGAGCAAGGGAGAACAGTGGGCGTTGCATGTAGGGGACTAAGGTGCAGGATGCAATGCAAGCTAGTGCGTTGTCGCGTTGGGCTTGAAAGGAAGAGGTGAATTCCAATACAAGAAAGGGTGCGCGATCTACACCGGCAAGCAGCAGAAAGAGAAACAAAGTCACGGGTGCGTTTGTTTAGATTTTCAGCGGGGCGGTAGGAGTGTCATCTCCTGTCTGATTGTTTTTAGTTTGTAAGACAAATGAACTCAAATTTGAGGACCAAATTCCATTTAACAAGCTATGGGGTCGATGATGCTTGGACTACTCATCACTCGTGTTCTTTTTCATAAGCAACTGCATCAGTGTCATCATCGGTCGCAACATTATCAGTGACACGAGCATTGTCGTTGCCATGGCTCGTGTTTGTAAGGCCATATCGCAAGAGATTGCGGTACTTGTCTTTCAAATCAACATTTGACCGATTTTGAAGCACAACAGGAAACTTCGATTTGATTAGCATCCACACGTTTGAGTAGTTTGCATAAAGTCTGTAGCCCTCGATCAGAGCTGCCTCTTCCTCTGCTGACCAGCGTACTCGTTTACGTCGGCCCGGTAGACGACTGATCGATCGAGGCTTTGTGGTACCGCACTGTTCGCCTCGTACCTAAAAACATTACGCAAAACATGCAGGAACCACAATGGCCATCACCCCAACGATTGCCAGCATCAACGATTACGTTATTATTCTTACCCTGGTACGTAGTGCAGCGCGACGACCTTCTTGACAAGTGCCCCTGGCAACTTCTGCAGCACGAGGCGGCCTCGATGATACTGGCTGCTCTGGTGACAGAGCTTCGTTCGAAACGTCAGAATGTGCAGACTCCGTTGTTTCACCATTTACTATACCAAACAGAAACAAGAAAACATCAGCATTCATTCAGGCAGATCACTTAATTCTTCAACGTTAAGCATAAAAAACGGACAAAATGGCTAACATAGTCCTCAACTTTAGGTTCCACAATGGGCATGCGAGATACCTCAACAATAGCTTACCAGTGTTAGCGAGTATTTGTGTTTCTTCCTCTTCCTCTTGCTCCTGCTGTGCTTGCTCGTTATCCGTGACATGATTGAAACCGCATCCAGTGATGGTGGTAATCTGAGAGAGTTTTTGCCATTCCCGTCGAGTCCCACCAAATTTCTTCTCGAGTAAAGCGCGCGGCACAACTTTTCTGCAAACGTAATATCACAATCGATATCTTCGTTAGCGCACGTTCCGCCACGAGATACACACTGTAACCAACTTACTTTTGGCTGTCAGCTGCCTTCGTTGGAAAAGCAAGCTCAAGTTTCGTCGGGCCAAGTGCGATGGATTCGATCATAGACAATGCACGCTTCATATCACGCCGAAAGGCAGAGATGTTAAGATGGTAATGCTCGTAGAAGGCATCCCAGTAGTCCTGCGCATTCAATGAAGCTACTACATATATTGTATGAACAAAAATCAAGCAGGCAACATCATACAAACCTTTGGCTCGTCCTGCTCAAAGATCCTTTTAAACGTCTCAAGAAACGTCGCCAACTCCGAGTCACTCTGGCTTCTACCGTCAATAAACAACAACACTCCGTCATCATTCCACATTTCCTATCAAAATTGCTTCTCTCGTACTCTTCTATCTTGTCTCGGAGCACCACACACGTCTCGTAGATACCCTCAGCATGACACAGCTCGTCACTCTCTAACTTGAATAACTCTGCATCCAGACCTTCAAAAGCTACCGCAAGTCTCTCCACTAGTAGCTACAGCAAGAAAAGAACGCACATTGTGATGAACATAAGCCTCCCTACCGCTTCCTTCTCTTTTTACCCCATTCAAGTCGTCTCTCACATGTAAAAACAAAGGTGACCCAAACAGAGCGTGACTGAGACCTCGAAGCATCATAACGTCCAGCTGCAGCATTCGTTCGTACAGGAACACAATGTCCATTGGTTCAGCATCCAATTCTTTACGTATTGCAGCAAATAGCGCTCTCCAACGGAATGAACTTGTATCCGATAGCTCGACACCTGTTTTGTGCAGGATCTCGGCGATAGCTATCGAGGAAGAAAATTGCAGTGTAGGGATGAGAAAGGTATGGAATATACACAAGAAACATTAGAAGAAGGGGAAGGTAACTAATATACCATTGGCACTGTCTAGCGCACCGATATGGCTCAAGAACTCGCCGCAGCCTTCTAACGCCGCACGCATATATTTTGACGTTACTATCGAGTTTTGTCAAATAGAAACGTTTCTAACGTATGGTAGTGTAGTAGCAGCGGTTATATAACTAACTACATTTCGTTATGTCCATTAAATGAATTGAACTCGTTATAACAAAAAGCAGTGTATTTTTTCACAACCACGACTCCTTTTTAATGCATGAATAAAAATTTACCAAGACGATGATTGACCGTCGCTATCATCGCTCGTTGCAGGTATTCTCGTGTATAGCGTGCACTGCAATGACGATCAAGCTGGTATTGTTTACTGACTATAACTCACAAAGAGGTCATAGAGAGCGCGAACACGTCTTTTCGGGGGTACGTAAGTATATTTCTTGTTCGGCATACGTGCAAACGCAAGTACTTACGTCAGACTTGTTGTATGGTGCAGATCCAACAGTACACGGATAAGCAATTAGACAAGTTTTTTGGTGTAGAGGATATTAAGAAGCAGGCTCAACTCGATCAACAGTCGAATGATGCTTTATCCAACTCTGATTCAGACAAGAAGGAATAGATGACCTTTATCCGGCACCTTAAGACCTTCGTGCAAACTTGTATAATGCAGAGCTACTGACTGATGGCGTAAATTGACCACACACACTTCTTTGCCTTACACTGCTTTCAACATTCTGAATCGTAGCAGATACTTCATCCGCTTTGCTCGTCTAAGGATCCGGTGGTAGGCTTGAACACTGCACACTGCGGCCGCGGGGGCTTGCGCAGAGCTGTTGAGTTACCCCGACGGACAGCGTGCATACCTGGATGCGAAGGTGGCATCATCATAGCAGCCAATGGGTCTTTCTTCATCAGCATGCGAGAGGGAGGCGGGGCCATAAGCGCTGCCAATGGGTCATTGCTCGGCGCAGGACCGCTGCTAATTGAACCTGGGGCTGAGTTTGTGCCTGCGGGCGGCACACCCGTGGCACTGGATCCAGGAGCACTGTCAGGAAGAGGACCAGTGGGCGGTGCGCTAGGCGTTGCAGTTTCCTCAGGAGCAGACTCTCCTGGAAACACCCAGCGCTTCGCATCCTCGTCGAAATAGGCCTCCATTTGCTCACCAAGTTTGGCCACCTTGACTTCTGGGTTCATCTTAGTGGCGATAAAAGATGACAGACCTGACAGCCATCCGGAGCCCTTTCCGCTACCACTGGGTGGCGGCGTCTTGGAGCGCCCAGATTTCTTCGTGTCCTTAAACATGGGGCTAGCCTTGCCCTTATCACTCGCCGGTCCATCCATATTACTACAACCTGTAGGCGGAAGTGAAGCAGCCATCTTAGCGGCCGGGCCAGCAATTAATGTTTTAAGTTGATTCGAAAAGCTTGTATCGCTCGTCATGTCCAACGAGAATGATTTCCGTGCCACCTGCGATGGGGGAGACTGCTGCTGCTGCTGATGTTGCGGAGAGCGCTGCGGAGCACCATGAGGAGCCATACCGAAGCTGCTATTGCTCTGCGTGCTATGGTTGCTACCTGGGGGCTTAATCGAGTGCTGCGAGCGCATCCGTGGTGCCGTGTCATGCTTTTGGGATCCCGGTCCGCTGGTTGAACACGGATCGATGGCACCCGATAACTGCTGTTGTTGAGAAGCAAAATGTCCGTTGCCCGAGTATGGTCCTGACATGGCAACACCTGGCCTAGAGTAGGGACCCGCTGGAGATGTTACAGAAGCTCTGTTGCGGTCGTTTGGGAAAACCGACGCATTACTTTGAGAGGCAGGTGGAGTTGCGTGGCCATAAAAGCTGGCAGGCATAGGTGCAGGTTCATGTAAACTGGATGGAGGGGTTTGCTGAGCATGCTGCTGCGGGTATGACAATGTAGGTGACGAGGCTGACGCAGCCATAGATGGGGTACTCGAGTAGCTTTCAGCAGTCATCTCGTACATACCACCCGGTGATGACGCGCTAGGACCTGCGCGAGGAGCAGCACCTGCTTCGTTGCCTTCCACCACACGGGTCACGATCTTGCCCATTATGCTCAGCGCGCTGCCAAGACCCCACTTGCCACCTTGCTTGAGGCTTCCATCGCGGCTGGTTGCTGCTGCTGAGGCTACACGGTCTTGGCCAAGGTGTTGACGCAGACGATCATCCAGGACCGTGAGCTGGTTCTTCATTCCGTCCAAATACATAGACGTCCCGGGCTTCATCGTTGCCGTCACCGCCTTAATCACCGCGAGCATCGACGTCACGTACTTAAACGCCGTGTCCAGCTTCCCGTGATCAGCCAGAAGCATCGCGTAAATGAGTTTGTAGCCCTGAAAAGGAATCATGAGATTTGCAGATGCACCCTTCGCATGCTTCTGGGCCCACTCGTAAATTTCCGTGCGCTGCACTGCAGCAGGTGACACATAGGAACGCGCTTCCGCAGGCGTTCGATGGTCTCCTCCCAATAGCGCCAGCTTTGAACTTGGCGTAGGTGCGTCAACTTGAATGCCTGCAAGTAAGTAGCAAGTATGTGCTGCCGCTACTGCATTGACTTCACCCCATAATCGATCGCCCAGCTCCGTCAAAATATTGTTGGTATCCGCAGTCCGGTTGGAGAGAAGTACCTGAGCGTGGGATACCCAATTGGAAAGGATGAGAGATCCTGCTGGCTGCTGGACATTGGCTTGTAAAAGGCACTTTGGCTCCTGCACACTCTTTTCCTGTTGATCCGCAAATGACATGAAGAGCACACGACACGGGTCGCCGGTTGCATAATACTCGTCCAAATATGTGCGCAAGACTCGCTAGATTTCAACATGAGAAAGTAGTCAAGTCAGAACAGTTCGCCACCGCAATATAGTGAGCTGCATACCCTGTACTCGTCCTTATCGGTGTATGATGCGATCAGAATTGCTTCTGGCCACATCTGCGCAGTCATAGCAGAAGAAACTGCACCCTTCCTATCACCAACCAAGAGCAGCTCACGAAGATCATTAGCATGCTTCAACATAAGATCTGGTGGCTGTCACATATATAGACGTTAGCGTCACAGCTATAGAATTCATATCCCTTCACTAAAGAAACAAGAACTAACCGTGGTAGACTGAGCCTTTCGAGGTCGAGGAATAATCGAGCGTTCATTCTTGTTCCGCCGTTTACTGCTCTCGCTCAGCAGCGCAATAAGTTGAGCCTCAGGCGAATCAGGATCACTAGAATTCAGTATTCCTGGATCCGAACGCAACTTACCATTGCATTTCACCAAGACACGCAGTACGCCTAGCAACAAACGATCATTCTCTTCATCAACCCTAGTAGATACCTCGCTCCGTCTCAGATAATTATCAAGGCATTCCAAAATTGTCTCGCCGGAGACATCTTCCGTCAGCGGTCCCGGAAATATGTCCATTTGTTCAAATTCATTATCCTTCGGGTGCAGCTGGTCCATAGAAAACACATTCACTGGTCCCTTACACAGCACGCCGCCATCACGATTATCAAACCTAGTAGGTAAAGGACATAACAGCACCGAAGAGTCAGAACAAGCACTACGCCATCAGTATTAAATCCTACAATCCAAATTCATACGTACGCTGCAGCACCCTGAAAGCTATTGTGAAAGCTGCTTCCAGCAGCGTTTGATTGCAATTTCCTCGTGGGAAACATCGTTACCACGTTACCACCAAAACCAAATGAGGCTAGGCATGATGGCGGAGCAACGCATGGATCCTTGTATTTGTTACTCGTTTTTAACACCGAATGCGGAGCGGCGGGGGACATTTGAGGTGTGCTCTTTTGCCCATAGCCCTCGTACCTTGTAGCAACTCCGTATTCATATTCGCCCGCAGCACTCTGGCTTGCCCCTTGTGGTTGCCTTTGAGCAATGCCACCTCGATAATCGTATTCTCTGACGGCATGACGCACCTCGAACTGTTGCGGTTGTTCTGGCTGCTGCTGTGAGTGGCTAGCACTGCTTGCAGCACTAGCTCCCGGCACGCGTGAGTCAAAGTAACTACCTGAACGCCCTCCAGATGTATGCAGACCACTATCATACGAAAGTGTCGAGTTTGCAAACTGCAGCGAGGAAGCTGCATCATCGCTATCTTGATGCTGTAGCTGCTCCTGGTCACATCCCTTGTGCTTGAGTCGATACGACATCGATGCGGTTGCTTGTGGTGCTGCTGACGACGAAAAGAAATTGCGTGATGTCTCACTAAAAGCGTTGGAGCCTGAATCCAAAAACCCGTCAGGGTAGTGTACATCCTTTGCACTCGCAATTGTAGAAACGGTAGAGACAGTGTGTGAGTCGATCTTGGAGGAAACCACCGGTGACCCAACAGTACAATTCGCTTCGTGCTGCTGTAAGCTTTTACTTCGTGCAAGCGATATCCCGGTTAACGATTCCATATCAGACCTTGAAATTGCATCAATCTGCGACACCGGAAACGTTGCTGAATTCGCTGCAAAGTCTTTGTCACTGGTTTCACGGTGACCCCACTCTTGCAAGGAATCTTGCTCCTGACGCGCAGACCCGGGAACTGTCTGCACACTGCAATCACTAGACGTTGACGCTTGAGGATATGATGTCAATGTTTTTGACGAATCCTGAAACTTCGTGCTACCAAAACCCGACGACATTTCCCTACTAGTCACGGAAGGTGCCACACCAAAACTAAAACTCGCTCCAGCCGATGGATGCGCAGACGTGCTACCCTCCGATTGTTGTAAGTTAAGATGAGGCTGGAGAGTTGTGTCATTCCCGTATCGACTCATGGGGGAGCTAGATCCATAGCGCGACAAATTGGCATCTCCATTTAATCTGTACGACGCATTTAAGTCATGCAATTGCACCGAAGGTCGCATCTCAGTCGGATCTACTGGTAAATGGGTACCTTGTTGCTCCGGATTAGACGATGCATTGCTTCCACTCCGTAAAAATGACGGCTGGGGATGAGTCAACACTGGCGGCTGCTGCCGAATTGACGTTGCTGATGGAGCCATTACACGCTCACCACCAGCGTCGGACGCTGATGATATCGGATCAGCCGCAGAGGGCGACCGGCCAAAGAATGCATCAGTTGATGCACTTGACGATGACCGTAAATGGTCGCCAAGACCTTCGACTGGACCATGGACAGTAGTTTTGCCACTGCTCAAGTAGCTGTTATCCTGCAGTTTAGAGTATGAAGACTGGGCTGAACTAGCCCTCTCAATGTCTTTCGCTGTGGAGCGGTGGCGGCTGTAGATGTTTGCAGTTCCAACTGTCGATCTCTGCCCAATCTGCTGACTACCATAGGACTGTTGAGCTCGGCTAGTGCCAGAAAATGCTGGGTTCGTAGATTGATGGCTGTAGGTGTCGGACGTTCTGCCGGGGTGGTTCTGTCTGCCAAATCCATCGGCATGACGCAAAGCCGTGTTGCTCGTAAACGAAGTTGCTGATGGTTGACAGCTGGAAGATTCAAACCCTCCGGAAATTTTTGTACATTCGTCCGCTGCAACATCATTGATCTGTCCGTGAGATTGGGCACAAAACGTGTTGGTTTCTGCATAAGCGCCCGATTGATGCGCATGGTTGGAAACAACCATCAAAGGTCGTTCCGGATAAGCTGTTGTGACACTGAGGCCATAATGGTTGTAACTCTGACTACCGCCATGCGAAGCGTTAGCAATTTTGAATTGCTGTCCGAAATGACCCGCTGCAGCCGCACCAGTGTTTATCGATCGATCTGATAAAGCATTCACTGGAGCCTGTATATCTCCACCAAGGTATGAGGAAACACCACGTGTGACGCTTGGCTTGTCATCGTTTCCACCATTGTCGAACACGGCTGCAGCAGACGGTGCAGAGTTATCAAAACAATGCCGTGCACCTTGCGAGGCAAACGGATCAGCACGATTATAGTTGCTAGAATGTTGAGATCGGAAAGTGCTTAAAAAAGATCCACCTTCTGCTGATCGATCATTGGAATTTGGAAACGATAATCGGCCTTGCACAGGGAATAATGTCGATGTCTGGGCGGCAAAATTGGATCCAGTCCTAGCTTGTTTGTAGCCCTGGTACACACACGCAAAACTAAATAAGTACCCTTATGAACATTCAAGATGAATGCGGCACCTATCGAACATCGGAGCCGCAACGAGTCCTACCTGGTCGTGCGGTTGATAACTCGAGCTATACAAATTCTGTGTCGGACGAGCAAACGAGTTTTCAAAACCACTAGAAGAAGGTTGTGAGCCAAAAAGGTCTCCAGCATCTATAGTTGGAAGTTCGTGCTCATCAATGATCTTCGCTTCCGTTACAGCGGGTGGTACCCTAAACGAGTCAAATGGGTTCTGAACATCAGAACCAGTCGTGACGCCAAACAGAGAAGCAGCACTCTGAACGTTGTCTTCTTGGACAGCGCCTTCGGATTGGTCGATGCTAGAATCCGCCAACGCAGGCGAAACAGTAGACGAATGTTGCGAAGGTGGGAAAGTACTTAACGAACTCGCAAACGGACTTGCGTCAGAGGAGGCATCGTTGCTATCAAAGATTGGCGCTGCCAATACAGGTGCAGATTCTTCAGTCGCCGCGACAGATTTGTCAGAATCTGGCGTAGATAATGTAAACGGCTCCGGCATGTCGCACGGCGCAACCGTCGCCATCACGCAAGGGCCACCCGAGGAACCAAATTCCGACAAAAATCGTGGATTTGTGTTTACAGATCCACACATGCTTATTGTCTCAGATGCATTATCGTCCGAAAAACCTCCGTCACTAGCGTTGTCGGAACCACCGATTGTCGTTCCAGGAGCCGAAAACTGCCCTTCACTTACAGACGGAAAATCCGTGCCAAAAGCTGTGCTAGCATTGGATGAATCCACCATGCTTGGCGATTCCGAAACGGTGCCGTCTGAAAAAGCACCACCCTCACTGACACGTTCCGAACCGCCGAACGTTGCACCCGCGGAAGATACTCCAAATGATGCGATTGAACTTCCTTCGTGGTCTGTGCTGGCGACCGATGATTGATACATGCGATGACTCGCAAACGAGGACTGTGATCCGCCATACAACGAGGAAGGCCGCCCGGTCGACGGAAAAAATGAGTCTTCACCTAAAAAAGCTACAACAGAATCCCGTTCTTCTTCGTTGCTCGGCCCGTGATGAGTGTTGTGACGAATCTGATCATCATTCGCCTGCTCTCCAGAGGACATGCGGACGTGCCCACCGTCATGAAATAAAAGTGGATCCCATCTCACGCTCGATTCCGTGTATGAGTCTGAAGCCTCACTTTTTTCTCCGCTTTCAAATACTATCGAGTCATGACCAGCTTCGTTTACGTCAGTTCCAGATAATCCTTCTGAAAGAAATGAGCTGTCATTGCCCTGAGGCGAATGTACACGTCCAAATGGGCCACCTGTTCCAGTCGGGGTATGAAGAGAACGAGCACTACGTGGCGCTTTCAGAGATTCATTCGGATCATTCTCTTGACCACTTGACTCAGCAAAAGCACTCGAAAACGGTGAGCATTCGGTGCGTAACAAAGTTTTCTCTTTCACCCTTGCGGTGCTCTCGACCAAATGCGAGGGCGTCACCGCATTATGCATCGTTGAAGGTGTCACTAGACTTGGCTCAATTGAAGAGGCCATTGGGGACATCTTAGCATCTGGCAATTGGTCAATCAGTTCTTCCTGGCTAAACATCTTAACCTTTTCTGATTGTCTAGAAAGAAAATAGTTAGATGCGCTTACACCCTCTTGTACCAAAAAATTTGATTCCTCCACATTGGTTGACGCTTTGAGGGGTGGTGGTTGATATGGGATCGAAATGGAGGTACTTTGACTGGAAGAAGCGTGCGTAGTCGATTTGACATGACTCTCTTTGTGACTGGAGCTCAAAGCCAGGCTTTTTGGTTCACTTGTCAGATCTTTCGTTGATTCGTCCCACACTTCGGTGGCATGTTCATCGTGATCAAAAAGCTCATCTTCATCAACATCTCCCCAAAATTTACCAGCATCGCCACCGGGACTAGTGATCTCTACAGGAGGAGTCACAAAAGTATCTGTCCAAATTTCTTTCATTGTTGTAACAGCTGTCGCGCGAGCAGTGGTTGTATCATCTGCAGCTATCGTCTCAGATCCAGTGTCCGCAGGCTTCTGCTGGTGTAAGTCCTCATCCCATAGCTCATCCTGCTCGTGCGGCCTACGAGAAACAAAGGTCTCATCACATAAGGCTGCTTGGGGATGCGCTTTGCAATTCGTTGTCTCAAATATGTTATGGGTTGATTTGGATGATAAAAAACTTGAGGGAGCATCTGGAGACGGTGCTGGTGGTCGCGTATATTCAAACTGAGTTCGTCTCGGCGCTGATCTTGCATCATAAACTGACACTGGCGAGGTAAAATGACCCGTTCTCTCAAACGTGCTATTTGTCACTATAGAAGAGCATGAAGTCGACGACACGGCAGTTGGAGGCGGCAAAACTGCCGACACAGACTGTGTTTGTCGCGACTTCGTTTCGTGAGATGACATTTGCGTAGAAGCGCAACTCTTCGTAGCAAACTTATGATCCGCAGATAATTCAGGTGAAGCTTGGTGTATCATAAACTCCACCTTCGTCTTAAAAGTATCACTAGCAGATGTTTTATACGCATTCGGCGACATCATTGTCGCCTTCGCAACTGACGACGCAAAAGCATCATCAGCATCATCCCACGCAACTTCATCTTCCGGTGTTTTCGCCACTGCAAGTACTGGGACCGCCGTTGACGTTGTTTCCGTCTCATCCATTGAATTCAAGAGCACAGTCGAGGGCGAGTCACAATTCCATCCATCATTGCTGTACAGATCCTCAGCATCTTCCATCGTAAATAGCTGCGTCGATCCTGCATTCGTCTTGGCAGTAGCAACGGGGGCTGCAGTAGCAACCCCTAATCTAAAACCAGACCCATTTAGTCCCTCGCAACCAACGTTCGTCGTCGCAGTACTCGCAGTAGTAGTGGTTATCATACTACTGTTAACTCTCGAGACGCTTAACGATCCAACTAAGGGCATGAGCGGTGGAATCGCCGTCGCCCTCAAACCACCAATAGGAGAACGTCTCCATGCAGATGACGAAGACGTTGGCGTGGAAGATCCTACACCTGAGGCGGACGAACGACGCATGACCATACTGTTGTAGTTTTGATTGCTATCGGTGCTAGCACTGCTTCCCGTGCGGTCGTGTGACGTGGTGTCCACACCGAGCGATGCGAAGAAATCCTCAGGCGCGGCGACCCCAACGGTAGATTTCTGGCGGAGTCGCGTGCCGACGCTCACAGATTTACTACGTGTAGCATTATCTGGTAATGAATCCTTGTCAGACGAGAAGCCGGCCGTGCAGAAGAAGCCGTGGGCTCCGTCCATTGTCTCGCTCTACTTACTCGCTCACTTTACAAATTTGGATGCGGTTTTGCCTTTGGAAGGGGAATGTGCGGTTTCCCTGACCATCACTCTGAGTAGCTTGAAGTAATTAGCGGCACTACAAACCCTCGCAATAATGACATCATCTAATGGTGACGAGAACATGAATGAATACGTTTCTTGTATACTTAAACATGTGGATCCACTTAGCAGCATGTAATGCATTCATTAGGACTGTAGAAGCATGCATGTAATTATTAATGAATACTTCGCGGCATAATGGCACTAGGTTACCGCAAAAGTAAAATATTGGGCATCGACTGGTGCCACTAAACGCAAGGGTAGATGAGTGACATTAAGTGGCATTAGTCTGTTTTGATTTACAATCGGTGTCTAATAGTGTGACAACCGCCAATTAGTAAGCAAATCGTCCCGCTGGCACCGGTGGGACTTCCAGTGTCTCTCACCCGTCGCTCGCTGTATTGGTTTGTGCAGTGCATAAGAAACCTATTAAGGACGAATCAGTCGAGAGAGAAGGATGCCGATAGAGGTACAGCGTAAGCTAACGGTGCTGGGGTATCCAGGCGTCGGCAAGTCATCGCTCACCACGTGCTTTGTGGAGAACCGCTTCGTGGAGAACTATGACCCGACCATTGAGAACACATTTCACAAGACCATTCGGGTGCGCAACGCGCACTTTGTTACGGATATCGTGGATACGGCAGGCATGGTACGAATTACTGATCCAAGGCACTTGCAGTCTTTTTGATGGCCAACTGGATGGTTGTGTTGATGGCAGGATGAATACGCAAACTTCTCCCAGGCGGCGTCAGTGGGCGTGCACGGCTACGTGCTCGTGTACTCGATTGGTTTACGCACGTCGTTTGAGAAGTTGAAGTTGATCAATGAGAAGCTAGTTAACATGCTTGGCTCCAAGCCACCTCGCGTGTTGGTTGGCAGCATGTCGGATCTAGAGAAGGCCAGGTGAGTGTTGCAGTGCAGTTGATTGTGAAAGATTTGGTGCTGACAGTTGAGACTGGTCTACATATGTGTGTATTGCAGAGAGGTGACTGTAAAAGAAGGTCAAATGCTGGCGAGCAACTGGGAATGCCCCTTCGTCGAGTGCTCGGCAAAAGACAACGAAAACATTAGTACGTTGAGTTTACTTGTACATTGTCTTGATTTGGACAGATCATATGACGTTATGGCAATATGCAGACGAGGTATTTACTTATCTAATCAAGGAGATTGAGCGCGATTCCGGTCTGCTGGAGGAGAATGGAGAATCCCAATGCATAATTGTGTAACTCAGACAGCAAATTAAACTCATGCGCGGCTATCTGCGCTGCAACTGCGAAGACCTTGCCCGTTTTGAAATGGTAGGACGTTGCAGGTGAAGAAGAAAACATGGAAAGAGAAGAGAGCGACATAAGAAAATTGAAAGAGGAAGGAAAAATGGATCAAGTGGACCACTTACTGCTGCCATTACACCAAAAATCTTGCTCTATAATTAAGTGTACACTGTACCTTTAACTTTCCGTCGTACTTCACCATAACTGATTCTTTCGTAATCCGCTTCAACTCTGGTCGCATCCATTTGTATATAAATGGGTCGTACCGAGATAATTTACATCAAGATTATTTGCGCTGGAGGATCCCATTCGATGTTTCGTAATAATTTTTTTGCAAGTGTAATAAAGGTGCTGAGTCGCCAATTGGCACAACGTTTTCTTCAAAAGTTCTGTGAGTAGTATCACAAGCCGTTCATATCGTTTGCTAGTGTGATTAAGTTTCCGTGGCGTTTTTTGCTATCACACTGCATTTCTATTGACACTAACCAATGCTTTGGCGAAATCAATTGATTGCCATCGCACTAGTTGTAAGTTTGACGATATTCATGTTGGCGCGGGCAAACCGTTTTTATTGTCAGCGCATAAAAAATAAGCTATACGTGCAGTTCAGATCAAACGAATTTGTAAGTCTTGGATGATACTTAAAATTGCAATATGTATGGTCTTAGCTACTTATTTTGGTACTAGTTCGACACGGTCTACATCTAGCCTGTAGCTCATTGAAAACGTCTGTAAGAAAGGGCAAGATACGCTTTAATCGATGAAAGCGCTCTGCCTAGAAAATATACTTTTTCTTGCGCCTCCAAAACTCCTCATAGGCTTTCAAAACTGTTAGCTCGCTCTCTTTCGTCACTTTGTTTGCTTGGCTAATATCTGTAGGCGATACTCTTTTCTTTAGCCAGCGCTTAAACAGGCGTTGCTGAAAGGTCTCAACCAATTCCGAAGAAGTGCCATGCTCGTTTGCTTGAACGATCGCCTTGATTAGATCACCGTCAGACACAGAATTTCTCAGTTCGTCAATTACGAGAGCTGGCTTTTTATTACTGTTGCTTTTTATTTTGTTGTACATTGCTACATGATAAGTATAAAGCCTCATTTCTGGACTATCAACAATTTTGTAAAGGTTCTCTTTTTTGTGAAGATGTAACCTCGTCCAAAGTTGAGTACGGCGTCATATTATATCATAAGTCATAGAATAGATACGCATCGCGTAGTTTTTTTTTGATTTGTTCTAATCTTTTGCTTTTTGTCGGGCCATACACCATTTTCGCAAAGCCAGCATCATCGAAAGTGCTCACCAAACGCGCTGCAATGTTTCGAAAATCCTCGTTTTTCATTTTTTTACGATTCATAAAAAAATATTTCCACGCTTCCATACCTTTAAGATCTTCAAATTGATTGCCGGGAAGCTGTAATCCGTTTAGAGCATTTTCCATCTTCTTCGATAAAATCCTCATCATGTTCTGGGGGCAAAAACGATTTCACCCATTCATCCACTGGAATTTCTTTTTTTAGACCACCACCACATTCTCTCTTCGTTTGCATCCATTCCATGCACAAATTTGTGGCCACGTAAATGCCTTTTGTTGTCTTCCATGAAGGTCGATGTCAATTGAGTCGAAGACGTGTCAGCTGTGGCGAATAAAGCAACAGAGGTTACGAGCAAATAAGAGTACAGACGCATCTTGTGTCAGGCGAGGTAAGAAAAAGAATGGTAACGACGAATTTGCGCTGACCTTTTCTTCTTGTGAAATCAAATGAAGTGTCCGTTTGCTATTTTAATGACGATTGACATTCTGTCCTGTCCAATGCTTCATACGTTGCAATCAAAAAAGCTGTTTTCTAAGAATCATATGGAATTTTGACATTTCTTTATTAAAAATTTGGTGCGCCTATCCAGCATTTCGCTCAAATCATCTTGGTAATCCATGTTACGCATCAATTAATAAAGGTTCTTATAACCTTATATACAAAGATTGAACTCCGTAATAAGATGCAGTAAATCCATTAGTCCGGTGGCTGCAAGCAGTTCCGGACGAGCGTAAGTTGCTCCGACCACGGACTTGTTGGTCCACACGAAAGTCAAACTTTACGCAAGAATGAGAGCATATTAGTCTTTCTCGCATGAGTCATGAAGAGTAATGTGATTGAATTATTGGAAAACGGGTATCAAGACCATGTTTAGGGTTGCACAACTGTTTTAATCGTCCCATCTAACAGACCATAGCCGATGCAGTGACTCAAACAATGATTCAGAATTTTCATGAAAAAACTGTTGTTGTCGTATTGTGATCATTCGCCGTTGTGTATTGGTTGCAAAACACCCTTGCTGCCTGTCTCAACGACAGATGATGATAAAGTTTAGATGTGAATCAAGAAATAACCTGTAACTACAAACAAGATTGTAACGTTGTCATCGGACAGTATGGGACGTTGTCGTTTGTGGTATTGCAACGTATAGGAAAAGAGGTAAGAGGTATGCATCAAGATATGCTTCAATGTTATATCCTGCTTATCGTATTGGATAATGGCGTCGTGCTCATGGGTAATACTTTTGACAGTTCGCAGCTGATAAAGTCAATACTGACACGTATGAGGACCGTTCTTACGTTGGAAGTCCTGAATTCCCTCAACTCCTTGACATTATGCTGATAATTGATACGTCATGAGAAATGTAGGCACCCTTTCAAGCTCTATCAAGCCTTTCTCTCAGTCAGCACTGACCCAACACAACACGAAGGTGGACGGTTCAATAGATGAATGTTTCTATTTGATACCTTGGCGCGTTTAAATATGAACAACAAATTCGTCGTCAGGGAGCTGAGTTTGCTGCTCCACACTTCGCTGGACCCACTCCGTCGTAACAACACGAGGCTCTGGCAAGCCTTGGTGGCGCAAGTTCCGAATAGCTGGTAAAAGTTGTTCTTTCTGGTTCTGGCCAGAAGTCGCTTTAATGACAATGTGCGTAACGCAAGAGCTAATCTCGCGCGCAACTACCCCTCCATACAGCTTAAATTGTTGCTTCAAAAACTTTGTTTCTTGATCCGAGACAGTGTTTACGCCAAAAGACGAACCTTCTGGATTGATACAGGGATGAAAATACACTACACAATGGGACAAGAAAGTACATGCACAATTCATCGCTTCAGCTTCTTCCATGTTCAAGTCTTGTATTTGCATTTGCCAATGCAAAACCTTCGATTCTTTTCCAACATTCATACACACCTTTTTTAATATGCGCTTTAATTCGTCTGGGTGTACATGTTCAGTGAAATGATCTCCGTAGCGGTCGTACTCTCTGGCGAGAACTTTTTGTTGCAAAGCTGTTGCAAACACAAAATCGCTCGCCTTAAGTGGCACTAACCGTAAAGCAGCCACGCATTTAAATATCCACTTAATGTGCACAATGTTGTACAAACCTTGCTTCTTCAAATTAATCACTTTAAATCCAGTATCTCCAGCTGCCACAACGTAGTTTGTGCTTTCGATGGGGTTCTGCACAACATTGCCTCCAAAAGAGTGTACCAGTTTTTCAACAGCCTGTTTCGTTAATTGATTGGTGTGCTCATCGACTGTACCGTCAGGAAATGATAAAGCAACGTTCAGCGGGGGCGCTTCGTATTTCCCAGGTAGCACGCAAAACTCTTTTCCTTCAAACACGTTTCGTTCTTGTTCAATACCTTCCAGGTCTGCCCGAGAGTGCCCTTCAAGAACGTTACTAGGACGACGAGCTGAGATTGCCGTGCGCTTCTTGACACATTTGGTAGTGCTTTTCTGCCCAAGAGTTACGTCAAAAGCTCGCTTTCTTGAAAGACTTCCACGAGCAGCGTTTAGGTCTTGAAGATCAGTGCACTGATACCACTCCTTGTCATTGCGTATTGCTTTGCATCGAGGGAACCGGAGAGTAAGCCCAGTCTGATACAGAGTCGAAAATGATAGCTCAAATCCATACACTTCAAGAATCTTGGAGTGTCGTGGGTCGATCCAGACATCAGGTCTCAGGTCACTCTTCTGCGGTTTCCAGCCGCTCAAATGCGGTGGAATATTGTCGTCGTCCCATGGTCGCCAGTACGGTTCCAAATCTTGTCGCATTTGGTCAAGCTCATCCAGGTTATATCCAGTACCAACTTTAGCGAATGTGTATACCATTGGACATGAAGCACCTGGCTTCATTACTTTAGCTGCCTCGCTTTCATCAAGCGAGTGTGCAAGTACGCCAATAAGAAATACCGATACATTTCCACTTCGACGTCGCCCTGTACCATAAAAGCCGCCGACAATGATGGCATCCAAGTCTGTCGTCATACCCGCATAATCTGGCTTCAACTTCAGCCACTTCTTCGCCTTCCTACTGCTTTCTCCACACATATAGTGTGCGTTCAAATCTTTCATCATCACCCCTTCACCTCCATTTGATACCTGCTGATCTACCTCAGCCATGACTCTCTCATGCCTTTCCTTCGCTGTCTTGTCATTGATGAGTTTTTGTTCGTTAATAATGATCCGATGATCCAGCGGTTTAAGAATTCGAAGCAACAATTTGCGTCGAGCAAGAAGCGGCAACCCCATCACAGCACTAATTTCACCAGGACCCTTAAAAACCTCGCGTATAAGTTGTTCTACTTTTGGACTTCCACCCAGATAAACTACATCCCACACAACGTAGCATAACCATCGGTTCGTTGCTTCTCCTTTCCGCACAGCGTTAGCAGTGTTCTTTAACAGTCCAAATTCACGAAGTCGATATTCTGTATTGTCCCACACCATCATCTCTCCATCCAAAATACAATCCGCGTCCGACTCAAGTTGGGACAGCACATATGGTTTAATTGAAGGTGCATAATTATCCGTGTAGTTGATCCCATTCCTTGAAATAAACTGTACTTCTTTTCCTTGTACATGACACATGATCCTTTCTCCATCTAATTTGGGCTCGATTACAAATGTATCAGCATTGATTGCACCAATACATTCTCCAAAATTTACTCTCTTTGCAAGCATCGGAGTAAAGACTTGAAATGGTTTTAATTGAGGTACATACCTCACTGCTGAGTTTCGTAAATCTGTACAGATCTTACGTAAATCATTTGTATGATTATACATTTCCATAGCATCTGGATGCATATATTTTAGTACTCGTTCATGTCGCAATCCGATCTTGAGATCTTTTAATACAATTCGTATAATCCATTTTTGCTCCTCTGCCGTATATTCCGTCACTAGTTTCATCATACTTGTCTTCCTTGCTGTATTATTATCAGCTTGGACTAAAGCATCCAAGAACTCATTTACATTTTGAATTGTATGTGTCTTGTTAGATTTGTTACTTGTTCCACTGCGATAGAGCATGACTTCATATAGTACAGCTGTAAAATCCCCTACTGATTTACTATTAACAATCTTTGGATCATGAAAATGCTCCATTTTTTTTGCATCTTGACTACTCGATGATAACCCTAAGACTTGAATATAAAGTCTTGCAATCTTCTTTTCTTTAATCATATAAGTACGTTCACGATCCAATTGAGGTAAAACTAAGCGAATGAGTGGATACAGATCACTCTCACCCACTTGAGCACGGAGATTTGCACTAAATAATAAATCCAGCTTCTTTTCACTCTTACTTGTAGCCTCAATGGCTTTAAATACAGAACAAAGTGCCGTAAATGACAGTTGAAGCACTGCCATTTGGTCCTTTGTGGTCTTCGACATTATTTTGACAAATGCGGCAGACTTGGAAGCTGCACTTGGAGTGATGGTCAGATAGTAGATTTTAAACCAATAAGAAAAGTGGAAATGAGAACAGCCAGCTATCAGCTAACAACTTACTACAGTTAATTAGCTCAGGACAGCGCAATCCTGTCAAAGCACATAACAACTTCTATATACTTCTTCGGGCAAATACTAGCTTAAAAGCAGTATCTATCATTTTCATTTTTGGTCCACAACAGATCGGGTTAAACAGATTCTTTTGTAAATGCACCAAGTTAGCAAGTCGCTTGTCAAATGTCGTACACGACCATCGAAATATTTAATCGTCAACCAAATGTGTTGAAACTTATGCGCTTTTGGCATGACACTTGTCAAGAATTTTCTTGGCCATGTAAAATATTGCCGCTTTTGAGTCCATGATCTTACTTTGTTATTACTTTCCCAAAGCAGAAATAGAAGCTAGCTTTTCAATCATATTGACGAGTTGAAAAAGCGACGGTAAAAATGTTCAGGAAAACTAGAAGCAAAAATTGACGGCAGATATGCACAACATGAAGGAGATCGGGACCCTACAAAGTAGGCGGACCACAGATTCTGGATCGGGCGCGCAGCCGTAATAATTAAACATTGTTACCTGAGTTTGGAAAGTACTCAGGTCAAAACTTAATTATTGCATGCTGTTAAGGTTTCTTCTGTTATATCGCAGTCTACACACCAGATTATCTCGTGTACTCACGATATTATATAAGAGTATGACTGTCATCTCCAAAGAAATATGCTAACGTGAGCTGATTAGCAG